AAGCGATCAGGCTTTTGAAGCGCTTGACGTAGAGAAAGTCAAAAAATAATCAAAATGGCTGAAATATTTTTCCTCAATTACGATCAGCAATTTTTTTGCAAAATCTCGCCGTTACTTTGGTTTTTAACGCCTAAAAATACCATATTAATTTAATTGCTTTCTTGCAGCTTTTTGGCACCTGACCAACTACAGTGGAAAGTACAAAAAGTACCGAAAAACAAATTATGCGTGTAGTTTTGTCCAGAGAATTCTTTTCTGCACTTTTTTGGGACCGTTGAGGGGCTTCGCAGGACATGGAAATTTTTTGAGAATTTGGGGTTTTCTAGCGGAAGCGAAAATTTCTAATGGAGGTCGAAGCCATAAGCCGTCGCCAAGCCAAAGCTGAGAATAAGCCTTGCTCAATTTAAAAATAAAGGCTTTTAAAATTACTCCTATGGCTCCGGATTTTTTGTCGGTACTGTTGGCTTCAAAGTGCCTTTAAAGCCTCCGTTTGTCCGAAATTTGAATTTTAATGCCCCAGCTATTACCAGCCACGTGGGAGCATCCCCAATAAAATCTAGCACCCCCGAAAAACACACGTCACGATGGCCTGGGGCAGCCACACGTCACTCTCCTTTGGTGGTGATGGCTATTGACCCGTTGGATCTCGAATAATTGGTGCCGTTCGCTCTCTCTCTCTCTCTCTTCCCCCTCTCTCCCTCCCTCCCCAGGCGCACCCTTCGCAAAGGGAAAGAGAAAATAGTCCCAGGGTGGTCCCATGACGTCAACATCTACCCAGCGGCCCCTGTGGGGTAAATACCCTGAGGGTACTGGAGTAAGGTGGATGATGTCACTCCAAGACCATCCTCCATCCATCCACCCACAGACCACAAACACCAACCGCTAGATGGATCGAGCAGATTGGCAAGGAAAGGGGTGGTAGCCGATGGGATCTGGTGTGAATGCCCTGGGGCTGCGACTCGTTTTTGAAGGAACTGTGGAGGTATCAAAATGTTGCGGGTGGCTTATAGGGATAAAAAGGGTTTGTAGCCCAGCCTGACTACGCAGCCTAGCTAAGCCTAAGCCTAACCCGAAGTCTAACCTAAGCGTAGGCCCAAACGTAATCCTAAGCCTAAGCCTAGGCCCAATCGCAAGCCTAAGCCCACGCTTACCGGAAGCTTAAGCTTAAGCCCAAACCTTAGCCTACCATTGGCAAGAAGCCAACCAGTTACGCTATGGAAACATGGTGGAGACGGTGAGGGCCCAGGCAGGAGGCAGCAAAGCCGCTTTACCCTATTTTCGTCCTAAACCGTGGTTATTTTAACGCAAGATCCACTCGATTTTCCTTCGATGAAAAATCCATGTTTGAGCACTTTTGATTTGGATTTTAAGCAAGAAAACTTGTACTAATTTTTTCGTGATTTTGGGCGCAAAAAGTAAACTAGCATGTTTTAGCGCTTCGACAGAAATCTCGAATTTCTTTGGCGAGCTATGGCTTAATTAAATAAATCCGCTTTACGTTCAAATTACCACCCTTGAACCCAGCGTTCTGCCTGTTTTTCCAAAAATTGCGCCCAACACGCTATCCCCTTGCACCCCTTTAGTCACGTTCCATTATCAGATAGCCATTCGCATTGTTTACTCGAGGCGAGAGAGGCAGAGACAGAGAGAAGAGAAGAGAGAAAGGGGAGAGAGAGAGAGAGAGAGCAAGTTAAGAAAAAAGATCCCAAAAACTGGCCCTCTTGCCGTATTGCCACAGAAGAAGAAGAAGAACTTTTATCTGGGCACTGGCTGTTCTGCAGTGTGGGTTGTTTGTGTGGCTCTTCCCCTTTCCGCTTCTCTATCTGTTGCTCCCTTTCTGCCCGCTGCCGCCTTGGGTCCTCTCGACACGAGAACACGTGGCTCGTTTCACTTTTTATCGTTGTTTTGCAAAGAGCATAGCCGGGCGAGTGGACCTCCGGAAAATATATGTGGGTATTGGCGGTTTTTTCCAGGGGGTCGGAGGGGTCGGGATTAAAGGGGTGGTGACAGCTGGCAAAGTTGGAAAGCGAGAGAATTAAATAGTGAGAGTGAGAGGGAGAGGGAGAGAGAGACAAGAGAGTGTGCGAGAGAGCGAGAGAGAAAACTATGCAAAAAGCGAGAGATAGAGCGAGAGAAACAAAGTAAGAAAATCAGAAAAAGAGAGAGCCTGAAAGAGAGAGAGCGAGAGAGAGAGAGAGAGAGAGAGAGAGAGAGAGATAGGAAGTGTGCGCGATAGTGTGGAACATCTTGAAATAACTATAAAAAGATAGAAAAACGCCATTTTTAAAGGGACGTTGAAGGCAAAAACTCCAAATTTCCTCACCATTAAAAATTTTTCATTTTTTTTGTAGTATGGAATTTAGTTCCCTATTTTTGAAGGATCTCCTTTTGTCTAATATTTGCCAGACGTATTTGGCCGGTTTCCAAATTTCCACCTAATTGCCAGGTGCCCCCTGCTATAATTGCTATCCTCCAATTCTGAGGGCAACGCAAATCGCTACCTAATTATAGTAACCACCCGCCAATCCCCTCGAGATCCCGTTTCCAAACTACAGTACTTTGCAGAGGCGATACTTGATCTAAAAAGGTATGAAAACATTATGAATTACAAAAATCACATGATTTTGGCATACCGTAACCGGCCAAGGAATTTTCCCTATTTTGGGTATTTCGGGCAGACTGATTCAATCAGTGTAGCCACACCGGAAAAACGGTTCAGCCGGGGGGAGGAAAGTGCATTCTAGAAAAATAGACGCACCGGATAAATCCCTTGGCGGCGGGGAGGGTGGAACACGAACAATATTTTGAGGCACGGAAAGGGCAAAAGAAAACGGGTGGAAATGGCAACTTTTGATTGGCAGGCAGGGTTTCACAAATCCGTCCCGACTCCCGTCCTCCTTCCAACGTCCCACCACCGACCGGTCCTCCGCTAACACAAAGACATATTCAGCCAGATATGGAAAATTTTTATGCAAAATATAATCTCCAAGAATTTGACATATTTTTCCACATCTGTGCTACTATCCTCGTATATAGCCAAAAAGTAATGGAATAATAATTTTATACATTTTTTATTAAATCCTCATTGTCATTTTTTACCCACTCTTTAATCCTATTTCATTTCATTCCTTTCTCCTAGCAAATCAAAACCCCTATCCGCCACGACACAGGTCCGTCCTCCTCCTGGTCCGTCCGTCCGATGGAATTGACACCGACCGACCACCCACCGACCATCCGATTAGGATCCAGCTGACCAACCCTGTTGGCAGGCCAAAACCGTACTTTTGTGTACTCTAAACGGTCCCGGAAACGCAAAAATTGAACCGAGCGACTGATTTCGTGTCAGCAATCACAGATGCGCCCAATGACGCAGTTAAACCCATTGATTATACTATTTACTTACCTTGGCGCACCCTCCCCTTCGCCGAAACGCGCGCAACCAACTTTCAAAAAATAATTTATACGAAGACTTTTCTGAATTTTTTTTAACAGTTTGAGGGTTTCTGAGGGCTCTATCCGAACCGAAGAGAGCTAAGCTCTAGCCCTTTCCCCTTCGAGTTGAATTCGGCTTCGGACAGACACACGGCACAGCTGCGCACCTTTTTATTATAGTTGATTATATACCATGATATACCATAATTGATTGATTATACTTAAAGCACCAAAGGGCGCGAAATACAACCGTAAAAACTGCTGTCGACGTGATGGGACACGTATTCTTATTAGTTGATTAGGTGGGTTACAAATCAAGGGGTCGAATCTCAGGATTGATAAGCTTCCCCTTCTTATTCAAATCTCAAATTTTTGCTGCAAAGAGTAAAAATGACCTTTTTATGCTTCTGCGCTGAAAAAAGCCCTTTTTGCGTGCTTTGCATGCAAAAATTTGGAGATTTGAATAAGAAACGGAAGCTTAATCAAATCCTCAGATTTGATCCCGGATTTGATTTGAATAACCCCATCACTAGTATAGATTTTAACTAACTAGCTGGCCAAAATCGATCCCTGTCCTGACTAGGTCTCGGCGTCTATGTTTGGCACCAAATGACGCTCTTATTGACCTTTTCTGGGCCATATGAACTTGATTTTGATCCAGGATTCATTTTTTTGTACACGTAAATTCGCGTGTTGTGTAGCTGTCGAGATCTAGCCAGGCGGGGGTCGATTATGGGGCTTCCTATTTCCTTAAAACACAAAGATCACCAGAAGTGGCTCGAATACATTTCATCTTCCTTCAAACCCCGCACTCACAACCGAACACTCCAAAAATTCGTCAAATTTGTATTTTTGGTCGATTTCTGCCTTCCCGAGCCCTTTAAACCCCAGCGTCCTGCGTGTTTCCGTCAGCCGTCTTTCCACACCGGATACTGTATCGGCTGTCACATTCAAATCCCAACCATCTCCCCCCCACCCATCCATTCCCCCAAGCGTCATCCCGTTACCGTACCCCAGCTACCATCATGCGCGCCAAGAATCCGTTTGGCCCCCAGCCAACCCCCATCCAAAAACCCGCCTGTTTTCGGTCTTTCGGTCATTTCGATTCCGGGGGAAGCCATCCGGGAGGAGGAAAACCCCCGGAAAACAGAGAGAAAGGGGAGGAAAGCGAGAGAGAGAGAGAGAGAGAGAGAGCCGGAAAAGAAGGAGGGTAGGCGCGTGTTTTCTCCGTCTTTCGCCCCTCCACCCCCTTTTCCATGGAAAAGGGCATCTTTTCGGCGGGCGGCAAAAAGGGCAAAACAACAACCCGCCCAGCTCCCCCGGCCCGTAGCAGAGCACCACATCCCACTTTTGACTACCCCCCAAGCACCCACCAACCAACATCCGAAACCTACTATAAATACTTTATTAAAATCTGAAACTATAGTTTCTATTATTCCGCTATACTACTAGGAACAATCACTACAAATTCTTTCACTAGACGGCAAATTCCGGGTTTTTTGGATTTTTTTGCTTTGCTGGACCATTAATTCCGTGGCGGCTTAACTCGTGCTCGTGCTCGAGAGATCATGCTCAGTTTTGTGGAGCCCCACCAAGAGACGCCCGTGCAGCAAAGGTTTGTATAGAAAACTTGGGAGAACCCTAAAGTAGGATTGGCTAGGTTGTACTTAAGGTACTCTGACGAATTATGACGCGATTTGCTGTTTTTTAAAATGCTTAATTTGAACAGGGCTTAGTGATGTTTTCAAGTATCTTCAAAATTTGAGAAAACTCCTTAAAAGTCTAAAGGCTTGATTTGGAGAAACGGCCATTTCAACCCAAATTTTTCCGTTTGAACTCTTGGGATCCAGACGTCAGGTTCTATTTTTAGCTCGGACATTTTTGATTATTTTTATTGCTTATTTTTGGCTCCATTTTAATGTATTTTAAAATTGCTAGACGATACAAAAAGTTACAATTTCACCGAACTGTTGCTTCCCTCGTATTTGGGACCTTACGATTCAGCGATTTTTTGCAATCCTTTCTTGTTAATTAGCTTATTTTTGAGCATTTTCTAAGAAACCAAGTGCTTATAGATGATGTTAATCGTGCTGTATCAGAAATCGAGGGGTTTTCGTTGTTTAAAAGTTTCCTCTGGCAACACAAATTTTGAAATCAGGCGCAGGTTTCGTGGTAATTTTGTTCGAACGGCAAATCTAGCTGAAATAAGCTTAAATTCACGCAATTTTATGCGATTTTTTTAGTGGTTTGAGTTTCCATGATCCTAATGTAATTTTTTAGTGTATTTTAAGCGATATTTTCATGAGGTATACCTGATCGTTTCCTTTTTTTAAGTGGTTTTTCATGCTTTATATATAATTTTCGATAATTCCCTCGGCACGTTTCTTTTAATCAAAACAATCTCCACTACCTGTCAATCTCAAATTTACGCCATAACCTTCTGATAACCCCAGATCCACAAAGCCCCCCCCACGCTGCCCAAATATTATTTCCGTCTCCGGGCCGTCAGGAAAAATTTATTGTTTACGCTGTGGAAAGGGCTGTTGGTGAAAAATGAGGGTGGAAATGATCTGTGATCGGTTAGTTGGTTGTGTGAGTGTAGAAAAGGGGGAGTGTCGCAGCAATCGATGAATCGTGGAGCCCGTCCCCTTTCTCTCTCTCTCTCTCTCTCTCTCTGTCTCTCTCTCTCTCTCTCTCTCTCTCTCTCGCCTGCTGCTCTGGCCCACATAAACACCGCCCCCCAAACAGGCAGCCAGGGCAAACCTTGAAAAACCCTGTTCCACCGCGTTTTTGCTGGATTCTAAATATATTTCTTGAGCTGTAGAATTTAAAGTATTTCTTATATTCTTCTGCTACTACCAATACTCTTTTTACTAATAGCATTTTGATGTGACCAATGCCGCTAGGAAACGAGGATCGAAAGTAATTTTTGGAATTTTCTTTTTCGCAAATTTACGTATTTCTTCATTATTTGCATTTTCGTAAATTCATTTGTCTTTTTAACGATGGCTTAACGCTATTTTTGTTATTAAATATAGCTACATATTTAATTTTTATAAAACTAAGCAATGAGTATCGAAAGACATTTCGGATTTTTTTTGGAAGATTCTTTTCGTATATCGATTTTCATAGCGTAATGCTGATTTTTCTTGTTTTTTATGACCTAAGGATAAAAAATTTCCTCAAAACATGATAAAGGCAAGGCTAAAAATTTGATTAAGGCGTTTCGTATACTAACGTAATACCTATAAAATCCATAGATTTTGGGGCTTATGAGCTTTTGGAATTTTCGACATTTTTATACAAAAATTGCTGATATTTAGAGTGTAGTTGAATTGTTTCACCAAGAACTAAAAAAATAGGGCTAAAAATTAGTATTGTAAATCGGAAAATCGGAATGAAAACTATCGTAAATGGTAAATGTATATAATTTCCCTATTTTTCAGTTACCTTGACGGGTTCCGCGTGGAAGCGTGCCCCCTCTTCAAACAACACCAATGCCAACAACACAGACCGTACACCTGTTTCAACTGGCATTTCGCCAATCAGAGAAGAAGAAAACCGACGAGAAGACCTGATGGATCGTTCAATTATTCCCCCGATATCTACTGCGACAAATACGACGAGAACACCGGCATTTGCGCCGATGGTGATGGGTCAGTTTTACGGGCCGAACATCTATAAATTTTGACAGTAAAATTGCAGGAATCAATTTAACTGTTTTTGCCAAATTCAAAAAAATAAAAAAGCATTTATTAATGCTATTAGAGATTTAACCAAAAGATCCGATGGTGATGGGCTGGTTTTTTGGGGCTCATAAAGGGCTTGGAAAGCCGGAAGAATTAGAAAATTAACTGTAAAGTTTCAGGAATTATTTTTCGATATTTCTGCTAATTTTAAAAATTGAAGAAATAGACATCAATAATTAATAGACCCATTAGAAATTTATCAGAAAACCTTAATTAAAGCTCAATTTATTACGTTTTTTCCTATTCATATTTCTACAACATTTTGTCTACTCAACTTGTGGTCTGTTCCGAGCTAAAAAAGCCTAAGGTCTTTTAAATTAATATATTATAAAAAAAAAAAAATAACCACTTTTTTTTTTTTTTTTTTTTTTTTAAAATAAAAGAAAAATTATTTTTCGTTTGGTAAACCCTTTGGTTTCCTTTAAAGCGGATTTTAGAAAATTCTATTAAGTCGCAGTCCGGAAACTGAGTGGAAAACCAATCAGAATAGCTTTTTTGGGCATTTTCCAAAAAAATGCACAGCAAAAACTTCACTTCCCAGTCCCATTAAAAGCATATTTTGGATAGCGCGCTTCCATATAAACAACCCTTTTCCCCCTCTTGTCCGCCCACGGGCCTTTATTTGCTTTTTCGGGGCGACCACGAGGACACCGGGGCCCCGTTTTGGACTATGGGGAAAATAACAGCTGTGTTCACCTGCATCGCTAGAATGGATCCTATTTTTTGGGGAAGGTGATTCGGATCCAAGTTTTATTAGAGCAGCGGAAACCGTTGACAAAAATGGGGATATGGGATTTTTTGACCGACCGTGGCGGGGTGTAGTGTTCCGAAACGTTTTGAAGGGGCGGAGAAGTCCAGTCGCGTGAAATCACGCAAGTTACGATGATCCCGGATAAACGGCAAAATTCCTTTAAAAAAACACTTACAACCGATAGCTTTTGGGGTCCAAAACAAACGTAAATAGGCGCATTCGTACTCAAGAGATTGCTGCTTTTCCTAGCGTGTTCGATTAAACTCGTAAACGTTTCACTTTTTCAAAAAAAAACATAACTTAAGGTATCGAACCCGTTCCAAAAAGGCTTTTGATTTTTAAGAAAACTTTAACAGCTTGCTTGTGTAAGTTAGCCTAAGTAAGGGTTACGGAGCTTTTGGCGTGTGAGCAACGTCGTTGTAATTTTTAGAATAAATAATATTGTCTAATTTCAGATGCCCCTACCTGCACCGTGTCAGCGGCGACGTCGAGCGAAAATACCACCTACGCTACTACAAGACGGCCCAGTGCGTGCACCCAACAGATGCCCGGGGCCAGTGCGTGAAAAATGGGGCGCACTGCGCGTTTGCGCATTCCCAACAAGGTTAGTAGACTTCATCTAACGTTTTGTTGAATTTTTCGGAACGTAACATTGCGTTGTTGCATAAAAACGGAACGATACGGCTTTTTCATACCGTAATATTACCATATTTCTCCTCCGATGCATAGCGATTACTGTCATGATTCATTTAAGGGGCTAGAAATCCGAAAAATCAACTCCCTCCTCCCACTAGGTCTCGACAAATATGCGCCATAGCGAAAAAACGAATCAAAACTCGTTAATTTTTGCTGAAAAATGTTTTAGGTCCGCTAAATTGAGCCTGGTTTAGAGCCGCCCAAATTTGTCTAGACCTAGTCGACGAGAAACGTCGAATCCTAGCCCTTTATCGTTCCTTTAAACCCCAAAATCCAATCTAAACGCGTTTTCCAGACCTCCGTCAACCCCAACACGACACGAGCGAAACGGCGTACGCCGGCTGCCTCGGCGACACTGACGGCCGTGACCGTACTTCATTCGTCATCGATGATCCGTTGTGGCACCGTGGGTTTTTGGACTGTCGTAAGCTTTTTTATAACAATTAGTAGATGATACCTTACGCTGCATACGTACCTAGCAACCGATTACGCAATGAATTTAGGCCAAGAACACGTGCTATCCTGCTACAAAACCGAGCAGTGCCGAAAACCGGCCAGACTGTGCCGCCAGGGCTACGCGTGCCCCTTCTACCATAACAGCAAAGATAGACGGAGGCAACCGGCCGTGTTCAAGTATCGGTTCGTAATTACGGGATATTCTTGGGTTGTTTTTCGCCAAAAACATGGCGAAAAATGGGCGCTAATTACGGTATCTGGGGACGACGTAGGCAAAATTTTTGTTATTGCGGTTTGGATCGGAAAGTCACGAGATTTTGAATTTTACGGTGTTTCTCTTGCGAGATTTGGGTTTTGTGGACTTAATTTTTGCATTTTACCCCAAAAAAAATTATTTGTATTGATTTTCAAGCGAGTTTTATGGTTTTTTGACGAGATTTGCCTTCAATGACCCTTTAAAAGCTATTTTTATCAATTACGAACGAACAATTGAATTTTTAAAACTTTTAGAACGCATTTTAGAACAAATTGGCAAAACCTTTGCGCAGCTTCTGCCAGAGATGCCTTCGATGATCCTTTAAAATTTAACGTAGTAACTAAACTCAAGAGTTGTAAGCTTTAACATTTTTAAATCCAGATTTTCAAGTGTTTTTAGCCATTTACGTAAATTTTTCGGAATTTCAAGATTTTTCGGCCAAAGCCAGCTTTCACCAGTCCCTTAAACCGTCAATTTTTCAGCTCGACCCCGTGCCCGGCGGCGAAAACCGCCGACGAGTGGCTCGACCCGGAGCTGTGCGAGCAGGGCGACAATTGCGGATATTGCCACACGAGAACCGAGCAGCAGTTCCACCCCGAGATCTACAAGAGCACCAAATGCAATGATATGCTAGAGGTAAGTAAGTAAATTAATTAAGTGCGAGATAAAGGGCAAACTAGCGTAGATTCTTTGCGGAAATCCCTGATTTTCCTTGAGTCGTGTCAAAAAGTATGTATAACATTCCATATTTCAGCACGGCTACTGCCCTCGAGCTGTCTTCTGCGCGTTTGCTCATCACGACTCGGAGATGCACGTTCAGAGGACCCCGTACGCCTACACCAGCCAAAATTCACCGAAAGAACACGGCAGTCCAGACTATCGGCTTGGCTCCCCGGCCGCGCTGAATGGCTCGACGAATGGGTTGAACTTGAATGGCGGATATCAGGTTGGTAATGACAGTACGTACACCTTTTAACGCGATATACGAACGCAGAATTTTTTGGTTTATCTGAGCGCGCTGGTGACTTATTTATTTTTTAGAACATGGTGAAATCTCGGGCCCAAGCGATACCAAATGGTCGTCCCTTCTCCTCGAGTCGTGACGACTTGATGTCAAGCAGCTACCCGAAGGCACCCGGGTTTGAGAGAGGACCACTTTCGGTGAGTCTAAGTGACCAGAACTTGCCTACTCTCTCTCTCGCGCTCTCTCTCCTTCTCTCTCCTTCCCTCTCCCTTTCTTAACCTTCAAAAACTGCTTATTTCAGCCCAACTGTCAAGCCGACCAGCGTATCCGAACGTACTCGCTGAACATTGGGACTTTGGACATGGCAAGAAGAGGTAAGTTGAAATTTCGGTTTTGACGGCGCTTTTTTTGGTGCCCGGATCCCTTTAAACCCCACTTTTCTAGCCGCCATGCTCTCCGGCCAGTGGGGCGCCACCCAGGGCGACACCGGCGGCCTGGCCAACGCCTCCAACCTGTGCAGATCCGACTCCGGATTCCATGCGGTGTCGTCGACGATGGAGGAGCTGAGCCTGGACTTGGCCCCCATTGATGAGCACCGGGACACCAACAAGTTCTCAGACATCTTCAGCACGTCATGTAAGTAGCTTTAAAGATTAACCCGCGCTCTTAAAGCGCGGGAAACTCTATAAATTGCAGAAAAACCATGTCTTTTTAGTGCCATCCCCGATGAACATTGGCGGACCGGGGCGTGGCGGTCTGCAGATGGACGGCGCGGGCCCACAACCATTCGTGGCTTCACCTTTTGGCCAAGACGGCACCCAAGCCCTCTTCCAACAACCACAGAAAATGATGCACTCTCCCGGGAGTCTACCGCCATTCCAAGGATTCCCCGGGCAACCGAAACATCCACATGGTAATTTTTAATGGATGTAAAGGGAACGGGAAGGCAAATTTTGATCGTTATTGAGTCTTGGCTAGCCTGTAATTACCCGGGTTTCCCTTGGGAAAATGAACACTGATTTTGGGACGACCTAGGCAGACTAGCCGTGATGATTTAAGAAGATTGGTTTACGGGCTAGGCAGCTAGCAGAGATCCTTGAGGAAAATCAGGAATTGGGTCGCGGCTTTCCTAAAAAAGGTGCGCTAGCACAGAGCAATTTGGAAACAAAAACTGTATCTAGCAGTTCAGACACAAGGGCGAGCTAGCAGAGATAATTTGGGGAAATTGAATGAAGCATCTGGCAGAGGTTGTTAACTGGGCGAATAGCAGAAATCTTTGGATGCCAAACTTTAAAAAGTGAAGTCGACTTTGAAGTCTGATGAACTAGCAGAGGTTCTTGGGGATGCCTAAAAATAGAATAAATTTTATAATTCTAGCCTAAAATTCTCAAGTAGGCAAGCTAGCAGTGATTCATAGGGAAATGATTCAAATATACGGCTAACGCAGATTTTTCGGTCAAATGGGTCAGAGCAAACTAGCAGAGAACCTTGAGGGATTCAGGTTTTTGCTAATCCAATTTTTTCTAGACAACCCAATCCAAGACTACGGCATGACGAACGGCCAGGGAAGAGTTGAAGAGAAACTGGCTGAAGCCCAAATCGCCGCCCAGACATGGAAGAGCAACTGCGACTACTACAAGATGATGGCCGAGAAGGCGGCATTCGAGAGGGATCAACTGCTGCAACAAATCGAACGCATGCAAATACAAGGAGGCCCGGTTGGCCAGAACGTCGACTTCAGCTCACCGCCACCGCCCACCAGCAGTTATAACCTGTTTGGGGTGAGTTTTTGGAATAAACTTGTTAAAATTAAAAACTTAATTATCCACTCTATGCGGCCGGGGCAAGCTAGCAGAGACCCTTTGAGAAAAACAGGATTTTTGGCGGAACGTCTGGGGTCTGGAAAAATCCCTATTTTGCAATTTTGGAAAACAGGCTAGCAGAGATCCTTTGGTAAACACAAGATGGATAGCAGAAAATCGTAAAAATAATGAAACTAGCAGAGACCATTTAGGAAAGGCAATAGAGCAGTACTCCTTGGCGGAAATTTGCGCTTAAAATAACTCAGAAATGTATTCACGGACATGGCAAACCAGCAGAGATCTTTGAGGAATACCGGCGCCACAAACTTACATATTCATTTTTGCGTGATTCGGGGCAGGCTTGCCAAGATTCTTTGTGAAAATTCGAACAGACGAATCGATTATGCCATGAAAACCTTAATCATTCGGTTTCAGAACCCAACCGACGACGTGTGGAAGCCGCTCCCAGTCCCCGATTCTCCACCTCAGAATCAATGACGCCATGAAAACCTATGTACATAATCTCTGTATCCAACCCCTCTCCCTTCCCAATGCTCTCTCGCTCTGGCCCTACCTGACCCGAAAATTCTTAGCAAATTCACTTCCTTTTACCGACAATTTCTAGCCTTAAAAAATTTTTAACGATTTTTTGAAGGGACAGTTAAGTATTTATGGATTTTTGAAGCTTCCCAGTCCCTTTAAAAATTCAAATATGTAGATTTTGCTTGAAATGTCAATTTCTATAGGCTATATCCCACTAAAAAATAAATTTTCAAGGAAAATTTATGCAAATTAGGACCGAAAACCCCACCGAAAAGTATGTGTGTATTTTTGTATATGCTAATTCTATATATTTTCTGTGTTTCTAGAATTACCCAATCTTTTAGCCGCCCACCCAGCGAATCACCCCCGAAAATTCAAAATCTAGGATCTTTGCAATTTAATGTCGAAATTTTTGTCGAAAACCCTCAAAATTGATCAACCAAGTAGGCGCGAAATTCTAAAAAAATTAATTGTATGCTAATTTTATACCTTTTACGCTTTCACCGAACCTGGCTAGCCCCGCAAAAATACCTCCCGATTTTTGTAAAAATTCAAATTTATTTTTTCGCGATTTTTTTAACGTTTTTTGGCAATTTCTGTACGTTTCACACACACCGTTGAACTCGTTAGGCTTTTCAAAATCGATATATGTATACCAATTTTTATGCTAATTTTTATACTACGATTTTACGTATATTTTTGCGTCATTTGTACAGTTTAGTTGGGATATGTTAATTTTACGATTTTTTGCACTATGGCTTTTTGAGTTGTACGTTTTTGTCCTGCGTAGTTCGGCCCCAATTTTGATTTTTGTACTTTATACTATTCCGTAATTTGTCATTCCTTGTAGTTGATTTATGATTTATTGATTACACTTTTTGGAAATTCATCTTTTGTTACATAATTTTGTTCTATGCTAATTCTAGTTACGGATTTATAATTTTCAATTCCCGGTACGTACATTATTTTATTTTTTTCAGACTAGTAGCTACGAAAAATTAAGAACTTAATTTTTAACCCTTTTTCAGCTGATTTAACTTTTTAAAGAGATTGTGAAGGCGGGAATCTATAATTTCAGCATTTGGGAAAAAATTTCTAGATGGTTTTTCAAGCCAAAAATACGTAAATGACATCTGAAAAACCCATAGAATTTTCGAGAGTCGTCTGCCTATGGATTCCCGGCTTCACAGCCCCTTTAAACCACTTATTTTGCAATTTTCACCCCTCCCCCACGCGCGCCGAACGATGAATACGCTTGAAGCTGGTAGCCCACCTAAAAAATACTTGTTTTTTTCTTTTCCCCACACCCCACCTACCCTCCATCATCTATCTCCTATACTTGGCCGAAACGTGTTAGTCACTCTCCAAGCTACCCTTCCTGTTAATATTAATAAACTATTTATTAATGAAAAATGGTTGACAATGCAAAAAATAGATATACATGTAAAAACACACACACTCTCTCTCTCTCGCTCTCGCTGTCTCTCAGTTCCTCCTCCCTCCCTCTCTCACTCTTTCTCTCTATCTCTCTCTTTCGCTAATTATGGTTCTCTCGCTTTCTCGCTAGCTCTGGCTAAGTCTAGCTGTCGATCGCTTTCCCTTGCTTCCTCGCTGTTTTTTTTCTACTTTCTGTCTCTCTCTCTCTCTCTCTCTCTCTCTCTCTCTCTCGATGTCTCTCGCTGCCTCGCTGTCGCTCGCTTTCGGGCTCTCTCTAGCTGTCTCTCGCTTTCTCTCGCTTTCTCGGTGTCTTGCGCTTCCTCGCTCTTACTCTCTCTCTCTCTCCTCTCTCTCTCTCTCTCTCTCTCTCTCTCTCTCTCTCTCTCTCTCTCGCTCTCTCTCCCTCTCTCTCTCCCCGCTTCCAACACCAAATAATTGCGCATCTTTATGCCGACCTTAAACCCACAATGCATCACACAAATTTTTGTAAGCAGTTATACAAAACAACGAAAAGAGTGAATTCAGTCATTAACAGGTGGACGAGGCGGTCCCGGGGCCCTCACTTCGTCTCGTACATGTCCTAAAACAAGGATGGATAGGAAAAATACGGCTTCACCGCACCTTTAAAATGTCGAACTGGACCTTCACGCGGCATTCCCCTTGCGCGACACCGTAGTGCTCGGACCAGGCACCCTCGGCTGTGCAGCCTGAAAATTTGGATTTAAAGGGAGCACGATAGCGATGAAAAACGAGACTGAGAATGAACAGCGATAGTGAGAGAGTGATAGAGAGAAAGAGAGAGAAAGAGGGAGAGCGAGAGAGAGAGAAAGAGAGAGGCGCGAGCGAGAGATTTCGGATACCTTCCGGTGCCGGGATATGGTAGATGCCGAAGAAGTGGCGCTCCTCGCTGGGCAGCTCCCCGTCTTTGCGAAATAAGAGCAAACAACAAGTATGCTACTGGCCAAATTTATTGAGCGAGCGACCAGAAAAAAAAAGAACAATAAATAGAAGAAAAAAATACCGGAATGGCACGATGGTAAAAAACATTAATTACTTTCCGGCACGGCCTGATGATGCGAAGCACAAAACAAGTAACGCTAAAAACGAACCCCAAACAACAAAACAAGAAACAAATTATACGAGTAAAAACAGAGAAAAAATATATAACAGAGCAAAAAACAAGAAATATTGCATATATTATGATTCTACATCTCTAGTCTGAAATATCGGAATTTGGTGAGGAAATTTACTGATGAAACCCATAAGCCCTTTAAAAATAAGCGGATTTACGATTTTTCAGCGACGATGGGAAATTGAAAATCATGTCCCACTTGAAGTCGACCTCGATGACCGCCTCCTGCTTGTAGTCGAGTAGCCCCATCGGCGGCCTAATTTTGAACAGATCGTTCCGTGAGCATTTTACCTGAAAATGGGGGCCGTGGTCAAAGGCTCTTTGCTAGCTTGACAAGTCGATCTCTATAAGAATGAGAAAAATTCCGCGAGTCTCAAAGCAGCCATGCTAGCTTGCCCTCGCAGAATCCCTGACTCACCCTCAAAAGTTGGATGCTCTCTCTCTCTCTCTCTCTCTCTCTCTCTCTCTCTCTCTCTCTCTCTCTCTCGCTCTCTCTAAAAATGGCGCTCACTTTAAAAGCCTGCCGATAGTCGCTCTTGTTCCTGAGCTTGAAGGTGGCCTTGATGTGCCCCTTTTGGTCTCGATGGAAACGGATCTGCAACGCTTCTCTCACAAACAGTCTCTTCAGCCGGGACGACTCCGGAAAATAATGGACAATCAAAACTAGAGAATATTTCACTTACTCCGCCCATCGGGTCGACCTGCAGCAGAAATTTCTTCGTGTCGATGCTCATCGTCTGGCAGGGGTGGTGTGGGGGGAGCAGGAGGACGGGACGATGGGGGAGAGGGGGGTAAGAAATGATCCAGAAAAAGGAAAAGGAGCGTTCGTCTTTCGAGGCAGGAAATTCACATTTGCTAATTGGCATGATTTAAATCAGGTGATTTCGGTTTCCAGGGACCGTAAATTGGGTCAACTAGGTCATTTTAAACCCTGTAAAATGGAAAACTTTGCTAAATTCAAGGTGAAAGCGTGTACGGAAGTAAGGAAGCAAGCAAGTAAGTTACATACTTTCGGACACCGCAAAATAGCATAAAATAGTCATCTTAAGCAGCGGTAAATTTGAGTTGTTTGAGCACGACTTAATTCATGCTTGACTTCAAAAGATCTAAGCACGACCTAATTCGTACGCTAGGCGAAACTGGTCCGTTACGCTAGTTGGTGTGGCATCTCACTTTTTGTCGTTTTTCTTGGGCTTTGCCGGAAATGCAATCAGGAATGCTTGAATTTTAAAGACCAGTAGACCCAAAGCTCTTGCTCTGGGCTTTAAACTGACCGAAGCACCCCCGTTTCTCTGGGTACCTAGCATACCAGATTACGTAACTTCACGGGCCCTACCTACCCTCCGCCCAACCCGGCCTCTTTATTTGACACCTGATCTGGTGACCCCGGAGCGGCACTATGCTTGGCCCTTCTCGATGGCTTACATAAGGAACCTAGAAGTCATTTTATTCAGCTAAGTCTGACCGTAAATTTGAATACAGTTTTTGCGATTTGGCGTATGTTTTATTAGCAAAATCCCGATGGTTAAGGGCTTTAAGTCGCATTTTCTATTTATTCAAAATCACCAGCTTTTTTGACGCAGAAAAGTTGTTTTGCAGATGTCACTGAGGAATGTTTACGACCTAAACCTGGTGTAAACATATATTCGGCTAGATTACGGTAGTTTTCGACCAAAACCCATATGGATAGGCTTGAAAACCTTTGGTGCGACAAGCATAAACAAAAATTCCTCGATTTCCCAGGCTTACGGTAGTTTTCTCCCAATTTCCCCATCTGGTCGCCCCATCCGGGGGCAGAAAAACAGTATTCGCCAGCTGCGACACTCGCGCTCCGCCCCTCAACTGCCATTTACAGCACTTGCTTGCCTTCATTTTTGAGGGTCTACCAACGAAAGTTTTCCGCATTTTTTAGATAATCTAATTTATATCACAATTGCCTATATATGTGGCAATGGGAGTAAAACATAGCGCGTAGCAGCCCTTCCAAACTTACCCTATACCTAGTCAAACTTCCGCTGATCTGGTGACACGAATTCAGCAAAAGATTAGACTTATCCCTTCTTGAATCAAATAGCTGAAATTTTGCACAAGGGATCGCTGCTAGCTTGCCCTGTATACAACGCAGTTTAATTTTGACTTGAAAACCTGTTGAACACGTATCCGTCCAGCCTAACCTTTTCCTGAATCTGGCTTTAATACGTTGTTTTACAAAAAAACTCATCATTTACGTCTTATTTTTGTTTACCAATTTTGCTGTTTATTGATCGGTGTTGTTTCTGCCGTTCGCCTGAGCACCTCGGCTGCCCTTTCGGGACACGATTCAAATGCTCTTTTCGACGCCAAATTTCTTGTCCGATCGGCCAGGGTCCGCGGCACCCTGTGAATCATCCAAAAAGACGATTGGGTGGGACAGGAGCTCTTGCTCCGAAAATTATTCAACAGAGCTCATTTTCTAGCGCTCGATTTGCCATTAGACCTTGAAAAATTCAGTGTAACTCTTTTTGCTAGATTTTAATGGAACGGCAGTCCTGGGGCATAAGGTTACCTTCTTTGTGGTAAGCTTTTTCAACCGATTCTTCTATTAATTTATTTTGGTTGTAAATTTTTTGGGCCCAATGATGCAACCAAAACTTGACAAATAAGCGTATCAATCGGGCGCAGATGCCCCTCTTCAAACAATCATAACATACCCGATATGCCCTCCGGTCATATCAGGGTGCCAGACACAAGGGGGTTGCCGCATTCACTTCATATCTTCACCGGTTTTGTTGCCATCAATTAGAATTTTTTTTGTTTTGACTTTTTATAGCGATTACTAGGGGTCTCTTCGTTTCGTTTTATGTTTTTTTAAATTCATGGAATCCTATGTGTTGTAAGTTTTTGCCTAATTCATTCAAGCTCTAGCCGAACTTCCGGATTGAAGGCAATCTATATCATTTTTAATCCAATCGTAAATATACCTTAAATGTCAAGAAACTACCATTTGTTTCATGATTTAGCTTTTGATTTCCATGACTCACGGCTCCTTTAGCCCAGCCCCGGATGCAAAGAGGCGATATCTTTTGATCTAATCATCGGATGCCGGTGCCAAAACAATCAGATTTTTCTAGATAAGGAAAGTGTGCCAAAAGAAAGGGTGATGATGGCATGAGATAAAAAGTTTCCAATGGCTAGGAATCGATTAGGCAAAAGAAGAACTATTTTTGCAGCATTTGCGATTAACATAGAATTTTTTTACTTGGAATATAAACCTAACTAAATCCTTCTTTTTCTCTTCTCAAGCATTTTTAAATCTTCTAAGAATGTAACAAATATGAGGTCAAGCGAAATTAAGCAATAGTTTTAATCCAGTGATCTCAGATCTGCAAGACCCTGTTTTCCTTAAGTGCTTCTGCTGCCATTCCATCGAGCCCACAGTTTTCTGTGATAAAATCGATGCATCCGGAATTTTTCGCCCGCTCACCGCCCCCGGGCTCCATCTATTTCCAAAATATTTGCCGCCGGCACTCTCGGCCGGTTGAAATGGATTTCCTTTGCCAGACTCGCTGATCTGATTCTGCTTTCATCTCATGCATAATTTTAGCTTTTAATTCAATTTATTCAGTCTATATAAACTTGAAAAACACCATTGTATCAAAGGCCTATCTGATCAGGCGTTAGTTTTTGTTTACGCCATGATTTTCCTCTCGTGTTTTTAGATAAAAAAACGCGTGGACAATGCATTGATTTTGAGTTAATAGAATGTGGCGTTCTATTCTATGAGCAGCCCTATTTTCATAAAAACGTGATCTTGATCTTATTACGTTTTGTCAAAAATAATAGTTCGCGTAATCCTGGCGTTTTTAGGAAACCTTCCATACGACGAACACCTTATGCTGAATGTTCTTCCCGACGCATACTGTTGCTAGTAAGTGACAGATCAAAGGTGTAGTGAAAAAATACTACAGGCTAATCTTCATAAAAACTGGAAATAGCTGTGGACCCCACTAATTTTTTTTGTCATGTCGCTACGTAATTTTAGTAAAGCTTTTGTCTACGACTTTTAAGCTTCACTTCTACGCCTCCCTAGTTTTGCGAAATTTCTCTACGTAATCAGGTATTCCCATTATATAAGGGACGGTCCATTACTTTCGCTTTAACGGGGCAGTACGGTAGCATTAGTGCGTATTTTTAGCTCTATTAGTGGCTTACGGTTATGGGACACGCCGCGCGGAGTGACCGAGACACTTCGCATGCAGTGAAAAATCTGCGTTGCTAATAGGGCCCTTTAAGAATGGCTAACGTCCATGTTTTTTTAAAGAAGGGCCTTCTTCGAGCGAACTATCGAAAGCTCTCGACGAGCTGAGGAAATATGTTCTTGCCGATTTTCGAAATTCCCGAATTTTTATGACATTTGTTAACATTTTTGCGAAATTGGCTGAATTTTCGATGCTTTTCCCATGCAACTGTTTTAAAAAACCCCCATTTTCCAAATTTATACATTCTTTCTGGCAGCCAAAGGTCGGCCTTTTGAAAGGCATTTGAGAAAACACAGCTTGGATGGGACTGAAACCGTTTAAATTGAGTTTTTGCACAAAATCGCGGAATTTATGCCCAAAAAACGATGAAAATCGGGTTAAAAATTCGGGAATTTCGAAAATCTGAAAGAACGTATCTCCTCAGCTCGTCGAGAGCTTTCGATAGATACCTAAAACGTCAAAATCGGACATCACTGCCGACCGCAAAGGGGGTCTTTTTTTGGGACACCCTGTACTTTTCATTTTATCTGATTGCCCTCTAGGGACGGTCGGCACGATGGCGAAGACGGGTGAGGCTGTGGAGGACCATTTGAGTTTGACGCTGAATAAGACGAACGAAGTCTTGGGTTAGTTCGTTTTGCCTGTTTCATCAAGGTACTTTTTAGACGAAGCCAAGACGTTGATGAACAACGCTGAGAGCTTGATTCCATTTGTCCAGGTGGTTTTTTAAAGCTTAGATTATATAAAATTTTCAGGCCTTCCTGATTGCCCTTGCCTTGTTCCTCCTTGCTGCCGCCCTGCACTCGATTTATCGGAGTAAGTTTTCGGTCGATGCTAAATACGATAAATTAAAATAATTAAAATAGCGGCCCGCGTGATGTTGAAATATGTAACTTTCGACAGGATAGCTAGAACCCAGATTTCAAGCTTGCATCGTTTTTTTAGTGTGCGTCGACTTCCGTTTGGCCCGCAACGTGATGGGCCACAACAACTTGTCATCGAGGATGTTGGAGGAGGTTAGTAACGCAGAAAAACGAGGCTTACGATCCACTAGGTTTTGACAGCTACGTGCTACACCAAGAAACGCGTGTACAGGCTTCATAAAAAAATAAGAATTTGAGCGTCTTTTGGAGCGTAGCGTAGTTGTCGGGACCTAGCTAGCTGAAGGGTCGATTTTGGAACTTGCTGGCACCTTTGATGGGGCAGTTAAAGCATAGCATAGAACGGATCTTAATTCTGAAAGTTAGCATAAATCTTCTCTGTTCCCTCCTGTCTCGTCCCACTCTCTGCCCATTTTTGCGTTAGCATTTCCGGTTGGCACACTGCCAATTATAGATGAGCCCTGGCCCATTCCTTATCCCTTTAAGGTATGACTATGACACTGGGTAGATACAGATCCACAAAATATTCCGCCCGGCCCGCGACACGCGACGCACAAAACTTGGCGACGGCGTAGGGATTGTAGCGTATTACGCAACGGAAAGCGAAGCAGAGTGTCGCGTTGCGTATCGTGTTGCGTATCCCGTTGCAGCGGATTCATATCAAAATCCTTGGCCAAAAAAATCCCACAGATATGCCTTTCTCGTCCCTTTAATCAGCTGTCATTTTTCAGAACAGCCGCCTCCACCGTGTCCTCGAGATGCAGCGCGTGGCCATTGAGAAGGGTATCCTGGCTGCGGGTGGAGTTTTGCCCCAGGAACACAGGACCGCTTCGAACGCCTCGACCAGCTCGGCCTCCAGCACCACCAGTTCCCTCTCGGCGGCTCACCAGGCTGACCTCGTCAGGCCCAAAATTGTTGTTGACCTCGAGAATGTGCTAGACAACCCGGAATTCACGAAAGCTCGGTTTGAGTAGATGCTCGAACGGAATAATTTCCTCAATTCTCGCCAGTTTCTAGAGAACCACGAGTTCAACAAGTTCACATAAATGTGCCAAGATTCTCTAAAAAGCAGACATAGACTTTTTCTCCTTTTCTTCCTGTTTCTAAAACCACTCAAAGCTATGAACTACAAGCTGGCCTTTTGCTTTGATTCATCTCCTTACCGCCACGGGATCGTCTGATGAGCTTCATGACCGACTTACTTAACATTTTTCAGTCCCTTTTTCTCTACCAACTGTCCTCAATGCCGTAGTCGCGATGTAACCATTCTCTAAATTTTCGTTGTAGTGCAAAAGCTGCCTTTCAATATCCATGACTTGTACCTTCTGTGTGCCTTACCTGGTTATAATAAACGGTTTAACAGGATCGATAAGATCGGGATTTTGCATAGCAGTAAACGAACAGCCAGGCAAAAACACATGATAACCTATCTAATAGCGTGTAAAATACATAGCACAATCAGACGGTCATGATTTGCATACCACCTAGGCGCGCGCACGGGATCTCACCAAGCAATTTTCTCCCTTTTACCATTGGCAAAATAGCGCATAGTTTTCGGGATGATGCGCTTCGGAATTTTACTTATCATTTGTTCGAAAGTCCTCTTTTCGAAAATAACATATTCGAAAACCAAGTTACGTAAAACAACGTCTTTGAAAAATCAATCATGTGTTCGGAAGCTTGTTGGAAAAACCACCAACAGGGCCCAAAAAAGACCCACAAAAAAGGGAACGGAGAAAAGACAGAGGAAAAATTATGAACAAGGAAACAAGGGTTAAAGTAAGGAAAATATTTTAATTTAATAAGGGGATCAGTTGAAAAATATGTTATTCTCATACGAGCCAATTTTGCATAAATCGCTGAAAAATGCATTTTTGAGGAGTTTGAAAACGAGCAAAAAAAAACAATCGTTTTCCAAAAGCCATCAAGAAAATGGCATTTTCAGCGTATGCAAAATCGGCCGTAAACAAGAATAAATATTATGCAAATGATAGACCCAAAAAATTAAAAATGAAAAATTCGCACTAAAAAACAGAAATCAAAAAAAACTAAAAAAACAAAAAAACACCAAAACAAAAAAAATACGAGTTAAAAGTAAATTTTATCATTTGGTCCAAATGCAAAACGAAAAAAAAAAAAACCCACAACACCGAAAAAAAATAAACTAACACAAAAAAACCAAAACCAAACACATAACCAAACAGCGCCGAGGAGAAACAAGAACACCGGCAACAAACTAACTCCCGAGAAACCGCAACCCCGCCGAAAAAATCAACCCACCCACAAGAAAGAGTTCCACAAACCCAAATCACACAACAACCCCACAACCCACACAAATATCACAAAAAATACAAACCAAAAAAGAACACCCAAAGAAAAAAAAACACCAAAACAAAAAAAAACCAAAAAGAAGACAAACAAAAAAAAAACAAAAAAAAAAAAAAAAAAATATCAGAATAGTATAAAGAGGGAGCGTTGAATAATAAAACGCAACTTTTCCACAGAAAATGTTCGAAAAGACTAAAAGCAAAAAGTGATAAAGAAAACAAAAAAAACGTTTCGAATAGGTTGCTTTACGAAACTAAATTCCGAAAAATGTTTTGTCGAAATCGTTACCTTTGAAAGGGTGAATTTCGCTACCGTGCAAGGTACTCATTGCCCGTGATTTGTTGTATTCTGTAGTTCCGTAGCGTCGCGTCTTTAACACGCTTAATTTATATAATTTAAGGTATGATATTGCTGTGTAATTTTTAGACCATCTTACAATTTTTACATGTTTATCTCCTTGTGCAAATGGTTCAGGAAGGACACGAAACGAACATACACGAATAAAAAAAAAGGAAAAACACGCACAAACGCACGCGAAAAGGGGCGGTGCGCCGCGCGGCGGGTGATGAGCAAATCGATAATTGGTATACGCGTAGAAAAAGACAAATATAGGAAAAATGAAATATATGGGGGTAGTGAGAACGGGGTTTTTTTATAGTATAGTAGGATAGTTTTCTCTCTCAAAAATGGACAAAGAAATGTTATGTACATCGCACGAATTCTGACAAAAATTGGTTACGGTAGGTGGGGAATTTTTTAAAATTCGCATGATTCTAAATCGATTTAAAAAGTTTGGTACGGTAGGTAGAGCGCATTTCAGAATTTTATTCATTTTTACATGGTTTTAGAGTATTTTCAGGCTTTAATTTGTGTTCCAAATCGATTTAAGAATTTGGCTACAGTAATTAGAGCTATTTTTAGCACTTAATTGATTTTTTAATAGTTTTAGAGCATTTTTAGGTTTTCATTATGGTTTTAAATTGATTTAAAAAGCAGGGTACGGTAGGTAGGCAATTTTCCAGGATTTCTGAATTTTTAATCACTTTAAATTGTCTTTTTTCGACACCGAAAGACAGTCGCCGGCATTTCGGGGGTAGACGGGGGATCACAATTTGCGCAAATTTTTTTTAGCAATGGAAAGTTTTTCAGGGTTTTTTGCAGCAAATTTTATAGGGGGGATACGGTGTGTGTGAAAGCCAAGAAATTGGGCACCAAATCGGTATAATGTCAGCAACGAAAAATGAATAAATTAAAGGAACGGTGAAGGCACGTGGGGTAAGAAATTCACAAAAAAAAAGAAATTGCGACTTGGCAATCGGCCAATTCGCAAAAAAACCCTGTAAGGAGCTAGGAGCCGTGGAGAGCTCAGAAAATGAGAGCCACAAGCGTTTTTTTAGGATTTTAAAGGCACTGTCAAGTTTAGAAAAATTCTAAGTCATGGACCGAAATTCTAAAGGGTGGAAAATCGCTAAAATCTCAATTTTTTGGTTTCAAAGGTCAAATTTGCATATTTTCCGAAATTTTCCTTTTTCAGCTCCAAAACCCAGACCTCAAAATTTTCCAAAAAATGTTTATGCTTTAGGGTTGACCGGATTATATGGACCGGCAACTCTTGGTTTTTTAAGGAAATTTCGGGACGGATTTTAGAGGTGGAAAGCGTAAAATTCGAAAAAATGCAGATTTCAGCACTTTCTGACTTGTCGAGAATTTTCTAGAGTCAAAATTTATATTTTAAACGTTTTTCGGTCTTTTTTGTAATCAAAAAACTTTGAATATTCAAAATTCTATAATGCTTAAAAATGTTTAAGTAAAACTAGGTGCTTGTGGCTGGCCCATTTGCTGAAAACCCGGGTAGCTTGGCTGATTCGGGGCCGGGGCGGGAGGGGCTTTTGGAGGTTGAGGGGCTACCCGCGAGTCGAACGAGTGGTTCCGCATCGGGCCCTGGCCAACGCCCTGAAAACAAGCGTTTAAAAAGTGAAATTCAATGATAGTTAAAACGTTTAAATGGCTAATAAGTTAACAAGTTTTTGATAAGAAATTTATGAATTCTAGATAATTTACAAAGTCAACCAAGTTAGTCAATTTTAATGGTCATCCCTTAGACAATTCAATGAAAGTTAATAACATTTATTTAACTGAAAATAGTGAATCTATTTTTTACCTATTTTTTTAATTTTTATTCTATTTTTATTTTTAAAAATCAAAAACTCACATTCGGGTGGTACATGTCGTTCGTCGAGTACGAAAAGTGGCCTCCGAAATTCGGCTTCGTTGGGTCGTTGTTGTCCCGGCGGGTGTACTGAAATATAATCGTGTTTAGCGTATTAAATAGTGCCAAAACCGCCCAAAAATGGTATAAAAATTACTTTAAAAAGTCTACTATGTAGAATTCATAACTCAACAAAACTCACGTCAATCTGGGGTGGCATCTGCACAGCCGATGGCCCGGGCATTTGCGCATATCCCATTTGCTGCTGGGCATTCGGGTCCATCGGCTCGCTCGTATCCATCTGCTGACTGCCCCACATCTCCTGCGCGTATCGGGGCTAAAAATACAAATTTTAAATGCTTAAAAACGTCTTTAGCTTTGTTTTCCCGCTTGTCAATTCAATGAAATTTCGTGATCTTCTAAAAACTGTTCGACTTACCGTCTCCTGAGCTTGCTGGACTTGTTGGGTTGTTGTTGTTGCGGGGCGGCCATACTCGAGCCCTGCTCCTCCTTAGTTTTCTTCAAAAATGGGTGTCGCATCGCGAAATGCGGGGATATCCTCAGTTTGGGGTCGTAGGTTAGCATACGCTTGATGAGGTCCTGAAACGTTTGAGGCTTTAGTGGTCTCTCTCTCTCTCGCTATCTCTCTCTCTCTCTCTCTCGGTCCCTCTCTCTCACTTACCTTGAACTTGCAGTAGTCCTCGACAGAATGCCCGGCTTCTCCGGCTCTTCGGCTATGTGGGCCTCCACTCGTTACTCCAAGGATATCATGAAGTTTCCGGTGGCCCGGCGGCTCGTACGGCTTCGTGTAGCTGCCACGGGCTCGTTTACAGTAGTAGACACCATCTGGAAAGGTAGTTTGTATCTTAGAGTGCCTAAAAAATCAATGTTAAAATTTTCTCCCGACTCACCTTCGGTCTTGTCGAAATACTTCTTCGTCTTCGGCCCTTGATCGAGCATCTCCTTCGGCGGCATCCCCAAGACCTCGACAATCTTCATCATCTGGTCCAACTCGGAGGACCCGGCGAAGAGCGGCTCGCCGGTGTGCATCTCCACAAGGATACAGCCTGAAAAAACAGAGGGTAATTGGTTGTAATTGTTTAATCCATTCGTTTTTCAAAACTATTGTAGCAGCGCTTGCTGTCACTACACCTTTAAAAAGGACTCGGAGCGTTAGGATTGACCCCAGCAGATTGTCTCGGTACTCTACGCGCCAAATGATGCCTTCTGGCGGCTTTATTGGCCTCGAAAGGTCGTTAAGCTGGAATCTTCGAGTGGAACGTGCCTGTCTAGACCTAGTAGACAGAATGGGTCGATTCTTGGGATTCTTAGTCTGTGAAAGAGATCCATACCCCTGCCGTACACGTCCCTTTAAAATGGGCAAATTCTGCTAAACCCTAGAGTCTCCCCTTGACCACCTGGGTCTCGATTTCACAAGTTTCACGTTTTCCTCAGGTACCCGTGCACCCCAAACTCGTGACTCATATTTCCTCGAACTATCAACTCTCGGTCTCTCCCTCTGTCTCTCTCTCTCTCTTTCGCTCTCTCTCTCTTGCTTTTGCAAGTCCAAAAGACCCGAACAGCTGTGTGCCCCGAGGTAAGTGAGGTGCAAAAACTCGTCTGTTCCATCACGCTACAGGCGACACTCTTTTTGGGCGCAAAAAATCACAGAAGTTGGCCCCACTGGAACACTCACCCAGCGACCACATATCGATTTTCGTGTCGTAAGCGATGCCGAGCAGGATTTCGGGCGAGCGGTAGAATCTGAAAATAGGGGTTTTGGAGTTTGTAGCTTACGCTTTCTAGTCTTAAAGGGCGGTGGAAGTCACATAAAATCATCTTGTTCTACAGTTTCGGATTTTAAGGGGATTATGTAGCCAGACCAAAAATTCTATAAATTTCGGGTAATGCTCAAGCCTATAGATATTGCGGCCGATGTCCTTTTAACGTTTAGCGTTGGTTGTCTTGCTTTTAAAGCACTTGGAAGGTACAATCCATAACATTTAAAAAATAGTCCTCCATAAATTCAAGGTTTAAAAAATTTTAATTTCAGTTTAAATCGGTTTTTAGGGCATTAATGAAAGTTTTTAAATCTCAAAAGCGTAAATCCTAGTTCACAAAAGTTAAATTTTCAATTTCAATGCCCAGGTCTTTAAAAAATAGATAAATTTTTAGCTTTTGAGTTTCGTAATCAGGAAAGTAACGTACGGCAATGCAAGCTTTTGAGCCTTTTTAATGGAATTTTTGGTAGATATCAATTCCTTGAATAATAATACGATAATAAAAGATAGTAAAAAATTGAAATGAAAATAATAACTCAAAATGCTTACCTCGACTGAATATATTGGTATATCCGATGGCCTGTCTGGCATGAAGACCCAAAATCGATAATCTTGATGGCGGACCGCTTCGGGTTGCAGAGCAACACATTCTCCGGCTTCAAATCACAGTGGATGATCGACAAGTCGGGCGTGGACAGGAAGAGCAGCGTCTTGGCAAGTTGCTGCCCAAACTTCCGCGTCAAGTTCAGGGAGACGCCTCGGAAATTGGTGTTCCGCAACAGGTCGTAGAGATTGTAGCTGAGCAGCTCGAAGACGAGGCACAGGTGGTTGCGGTGGACGAAGTGGGACTTGAGTTGCACTGAAAAAGTAGGTTTTTTGGGTAAAATCTCCAAAAAAAGATAACTTAAATTTTAGAAAAAATTTAAATTTTTTAATGATCTCCGCTAGATTGCCTGCGTAATTTTAAATTCCCTTGCTATTTAATCTTGCTATGCTTATATGACCGCGAAAAAGTTATTTTTAGCGAAAGTTATGCTTTTAAAAACGTCAAAAAGATCTCTGCGCCTGCCACTAAAAACTGTGCTGCTTTTTTATTTCTTAGCCAACTTTTTATTACTTAAATTCATACTATTGCTATGAAAATAAAATAGGCTTTGAAATTTTAGAAAAGCGCTAAAATTACGCAAAAATCCCATTAATGGATCATAGCAAGCAAAACCTATAAATCACGATTTAATCCTCCTGGTAAAATTATTATTGGTTATTAAAATTATATATTGTATAAAAATATTATAATAGGGTTAAATACAAAATCTGATAACATTGTTTGACTTACCAATATTATATTTCCCCTCCGAGTCATGCCGATTCATCATCTCCAAAAGCCTAATCTCAATCTGGGCCTGGTCAAAGAACGTCTTCTTGTTTTTGATGATTTTTATCGCCACGTACTCTTTTTCGACCTAAAAAGCTTCGTTTTTAACGTATTTACGATTATTCGTACCTTATCATACGCCTTCGTCACTTGACCAAACGACCCTTTCCCAATCGGCCCCATAATCAGGTATCGATTGTTGAAAAATTCGCCCTCCTTGACGATATAGTCAAAGTTGACATCGTCGTAGCCGTCGTTGTTCGGGCCGTTACTGAAAAAATATATATTAAATTCAAATTCATACTTTTATTGTTTTTAAACCTATAAGACGTAAAAACTTAAATTTTCATTTTAAATAATTTCTATGGATGGTAGAAATGATAAAAAAAGTATCAAAATTAAATTTGTTAAGCATTCTAATGCCTTAAAGGCCCAATATTTGGATTAATGAAAATTTTATACACTAAAAATATTGAACAATCAGAAAAATCGGATGGTTAAAATGGGGTTTAACTTTAAAATGCTTAAGTCGGGACAAAATCGTCTTTTTCATGTTTTAATTTAGCTGGTTTCTACAATTGTTTTTAAATGATACTCCTGAATTTAAAGTTTTATTCTAATTATTCGCCTCTTTTTGCCTTAAATCTTTCATTTTCGAAGTTTTAACGTTAATTTTCGATTTCAACGCAATTTTTTTTACTTTGATCCCCCACTGTACACCACACACAATCCCTCAATTTTGACGTGTTTATTTTCTTAAGCGGTGTGCTTTTGTTGTGTGTATTCCCCGGGTTGATAACCAGCTGATTTTAAGCCCCATGGGGGGGGTCCCGACCGGCCGGTCGAGACAAACGAAAGTCCACATGGAGGGATGTTTATTTACGCGTGCTTTTGCTGCTGCTGTTTCCCATCCCATAACATGGCTCGAAGGGGAAAAAGCCGTCTGTCCGTATGTCTGCGCTTTTTGTAGTTCGAAGCTCTCTCTCTCTCTTCTCTCTCTCTCTCTCTCTCTCTCTCTCTCTCTCTCTCTCTCTGTCTCTCGCTCTCTCTGTGGCTGCGAACCAGATGTTGTCCTCAAAATTGAAGCGCAAAGGCGTAAAAGAGGCTTTTCGCGGAACGGCTCCCCGATACACTACGCGTAAATACAAGTGGACTTTGTTAAAAGATCGGATAAAGGCCAAAAACCCTTTTAAAAGGGTGTATTTGTGCACTAATCGCTATTATACTATAGAATACAATGTTACGGTGGATTTTGATAATTTAATAAAATGCTTCCGGGTCAAAAATCTCAAAAATTGTGGATTCTATCGATCCGTATGAAACGTAATCTGTAATCTCCACTGATATTAAAGATCATCAATTAAGGTAAAACCTAAAAAAAGCTGTATATTTTTAAGATTTCTGGACAAGGAACATTAATAAACGATAAAAGGCGTCCAGGATTGAGCAGAATTACGCATTCTGAGCGTAACACCTAGATTTTGCCCTTAACAATTTTCCCAAGTACACCACGTTACTCTTTGCGGTGGTCAAGTCAAGTCGTACGTGCTTCTACCGATGACTAATCCGCCCACATCTGGGTTTGGGTTTTTGAACGGGTCACCCTACGCGTAAAAAACCACACAAAGAGGCCCAGGTGACAGAAAGGGTATTTATGGGGTGACTAACGGGCTCGTGGGCGATAAACTGTCGGAGGCGTTATTTTAAGTACAATTTTAGCAACGGATGGGACTATTAAATAGTATACTAAGCATCATTAATTATAGGTTTACACTTTCAAGAATTTGAGATAATCCTCAAATACTCACCGACTAGCCCGTTGCCTCGCCGACTTGTTCGGGTCGAAAGAGTTCGGGTCCTGGTGGCTGGAGTGGGCAATTGGGTCCGGGATTTGTTGTAGGGGCTCGAATCTGAAAAAAGGATGATAATCGGCTTTAGCTTTGGGTTTCGCAATTTATCTTATTTCTAAGAGCCATTGAAGCTCTTTAAATTCCCATACCCTAAAAACTTGATTTTCCAGCTAATTTTCCCGACTAGTTTGTGTTTAGCTATGCTTTTGATGTCCCACATTTTGTAATATTTCGGTGAAAAGGGCTTTGGTAGCCAGTAGGCTACCAGAGCTCCCGAAGTCAGCAGCTCCATCAGTCGAATGCGCGCCGAGACGACTTTTAGAAAATAGACTAGCAGACGGAGAATCTCGGCAATGTGACTAAAAGTCAAAAAAGTTGATGTGAACAAGCGAGAGAGAGAGAGAAAGAGAGAGCGAGAGAGAGGGAGAGAGATTTATGGAAATTTTACCATCTTAAAGAAATCAGAGATTTTTGAAATGTTCGAAAACGGGGGTTTAAAAAGAGCGAGTGAGTGAGAAAAAAATGAGAGAGAACGAGCTAGATAGAGATATAGAGCATGAGGGAGAGAGTGAGCGAGACCTAGAGAAAAAGAAGAAAACAAGTAATTCTACCCGAAACTATAGCCATTATACAACCCAAATTCAAGCCCTCTAACCGCAGTAGTCATTTTTCTTAATGGCTCGTACAGAATGGGGACCCGTTCCCGTGCCGTTCGCCGGGTCAAATGACAAGCCCGGAGGTCCTGTTGGGCCCTTAGGCCCGGCTGGGACCTTGTGAAAGCGGGCCCCTCCCATCGTGCCTCGGGACACACACACTACGCAACGCGCCTCCGGACAGGGCTTTTGGCAAAAGGGGTACTATGGACTTGAACTTGGTGGGGACGTGTGACCCGGGGAAATGAGAGGTTTTATAACCTTAAGGATGCCCTAAAATAGTGCAATTAGCTCGTTGTAGACGTCAAAACAAAAAAAAAACAATTTTGAGAAGGCTTTAAGCTTTTTAGTACGTTTTTGATGAAATAGGTGCATTACGGCAACGAATATTACATGTCATTACATTAAGATACTGTAAATACAGACCTAGGAAAAAGAATTTGCCAGAAATCACCGAAAAGTGCAGATACTCAAAGCGCGATTTGCGGAAAGTTTTATAAAAATAGGAAATGTTGTTGACTAGCTGCCAAAATGGTGGAAAAAAATGTTACCTAGTTAGATCTAACTAGCAGGCCTAATTGCCGAGAGAGGTTGCCCTGAAACGCCCCATTACACGCACAAGATCACGCCAGTGTTTTAGGGGCCCTAGAGGATGGGGCAGCTGACAATGGGGATGAACAAGCAGCAGAGGAAGAAGGGGATTCCGGGAAATTAGTCGGCACTCAATCTCACACGCTCTCTCTGTTTCTCTCTTTCTCTCTCTCTTCTCTCTATCTCTCGCTGTCTCTTTCGGCTACTAGCTCGACAAAGCCCGGCCATTACTCATTTTCGGGGATCTGTGTGTAATATTTACCTTGTCACAGAGAGAGTAGTAGGTTTTTGGAGTGCAAGAAAAGTGATGATTTTTATTATAGGTTTGAGACGCTTGCAGAGATTACTGGGGAAGCTTGCAGGGGGACAGAAAGGGAGAGAGAGAGAGAGAGAGAGAGCCAGAGAGAGAGCGGGAGAGAGTGAGCATGTCGGTGAGCATGTGAATTGTGCGAGGTATCTAGAAAGAGAAACAAGGAGAGAGAGAGAGCCAAAGAAAGAGAGCGAGAGAGAGAAAGAGCGAGCGCCAGAGATAGAGAGGGAGAGCAAAAAATTCTAGTTTAAAAATCGCATTGAAAGCAGAAACCTCCGCGAAACCTTATATACCCCCAAAACCAGCCAAGCGATACTTGTTTTTATGCTAAAACCGGAATTAGAGATTCAGTACTTTTCGACCTGCCTCCTTCAGGGTACTTTCCGTCCTTCAAAAATGATAAGCAGAAATTTTGGACCAAAACCCAGGAGACGACAAGTCGGGGCAGAAAACAGAAAATGCCCTGAACTTTCTACGACTCCTAGCAGTTTACGGGAGCTGTTTGAGGTTGAGCTCAAAAGGGGCGGACTCGCAACGTTCCCTCCACGTAGGAACGGCCAAATTGAAGCCCGTTTTTAGGGTGCAGACGTTGAAAAAAGTTTGTGTAAATAGACGTTTCCTCATTGTGGCTAGATTGGGGTTGCAGTCAGATCAAAATTTTTTGCTTAAGGGGGCTAGGAAGGACTAAAATCGGCCCTTTTTGGTGACTGGGTCTCGACAACTACGCAACGCCACAAAGACGCTTCCTTTTCTAAGCACTATCAAAAAATAAATTTAGGTGTCATTTGGAGTCGAACGTAGCTGTCGAGACCCAGCTAGGTAATAGGGGTTGATTTTGGCGCTTTCTAGCTCCTTTAAAGGAAATGATAAGGAAAAATGTGGAGTCTACTGACTACGGATTTCCTAGGGATACTGCCGCCCGCCGCAAAATTCAGAAAAAGGGAAAACCGTCCACAAAATCCATGCTATGCTTTGTATGTTCCTTTAAAGGCTAAAGTCACGGACGAGGAAGTAAGGTAATTTTTTTAAGGTATTGATGTGATATGAAACCCAAACAAATTACCACCAAAAACTGCCAGATAGGCAAATGAAAAATCACGGGATTTCGTCTGTGGGAGCCGTGTGCCCTTTCGTTGCCACCGCCCTCTTATCAGATAAGTGACAGATCTGCCCCGAGCTGGGGCGCAAAATAGAAAACGGGCGGAGAGGGAGCTGACCCTCACTCCCTCAGCTGACTTTTTGAGCGCAAAATAGCGGATGGCAAATAGGAGGAACATTAAAAGGTATTTTTAAACGGATTTTTAGCTTATGAAAATGTTTGAGCATTAAAGTAACCTGATAAATCGTAGAAAATCGAAAAGGTAGTTGGCCAAACTCAAAAAAATTGAGTTGCTAGCATTTTTAAAGGGGCGTGAAAGGCATAAACTCTTATTTTATAAGTTTGAGATCATCTTGAAAAATTATCGTAATTTTTATTTCAAGCCCAAATTGGATTTTTCGGCGACTTTCAAGCGACGAGGAAGCCAAAAGCTATGTTTTAAAACTTTTACAACATTTTATATTAAAACAGGGAAAATTGGCATTTTCTATAATAATTCATCAGGACGTAGAAAAGCAAAAATATCAGGTTTTATTTCTGAAAAACATAGTTACCCAAAATTGACTCGTTTTTAAGCTGCTAGCCTTCTCAGCCCCTTTAGAATGATATCCAGCGTTTACCACCCATTTTTCTCTATCCATTAGACCAAAAAAACATACTTATGCTGCTGCTGGTAGATCTGTTGTTGCTGGAGCACGTAGTCATTCGTTGGCTGCATATGGGCCTGTTGCTGTTGTTGGGCCATCATCTGCTGCTGCTGAACTTGTTGCTGTTGCTGTTGTTGCAGGCCGGAGCTCTGGGGCTGCTGCTGTTGCAGCTGTTGCATTTGTTGGGGTGGTGGTTGCTGCTGCTGTTGGGCCATCGATTGGTGAACACCTGGGAAATCGTTTGTAAGAAAATCGCGGAAATCGGTGCAACCAGTTACTCTAGCTAAATCCTAATAAATTACGCCACGTAATTCGAAAATTCTGAGAATTTGCCTCTAATATTGTAAAATGGGGGGGCCCAGGGCGCCGGCGGGGGGAAATTTTCAGTTTAAAAGTCTAGTTTCCAAACCCTTTTGGGCAGAGATCTTTCCCCCTCTATCTCCTCTCTCTCTCTCTCTCTCTCTCTCTCTCTCTCTCTCTCTCTCTGTGTCTCTCTTTCTCTCTGACGCGCGCGTTTTAAAGGAACCGGCAAGGATTTCAACTATGGTTTTTGGTAAATACAATTCGCAAAAAGATTTTTGAGACTCTGATACGCAACGCGAACGCTAAGCTTCTACCCGCCGGCGCTCGCGTCGCGTATCCCGGTCACATGCCTTTCATTCAATAAACCATAGCCAAAAATCTCTAGTTTAGCCTTGTCCTTGTGCCTTTAAAGGTGTTAGAAAGCTGTGGAATCGTCGCTCTGCATCAAATAGGTCTCGACAGCTACTCGGAAAAACTAGGAATTAGCGCGTTACGTGTCACGGCTCGGCAAAACGAAGACTATGCCTTCAACATAGCTTCACAGGTGCTGGAAAGGTGTGGAATCGCCCCTCCATCGCCTAGGTCTCGACAGCTACGCGCCCAAGTCAAAATCCTGACGCCCGCGTTGCGTGTCGCGGGCATCAGGATTTTGTGGGAACCCATAGCCAAAAACTCTTGCCTTTTAACCTCCCAATTTTTAGCGTTTTTATATAACCTACCAGAAGCCGTGGGGTGAACCGCCTGGTGCGCATCGTGACGCCGTTGCTTCCGGGCGTAGAACGACTAAAAATACCGAATTATTGAGGCCCATATTATTGCCGATTTTTATAACCCTTTAATTTTTTTACCAACTCCAGACCAATTTTCAAGCCCCCTAGTAGATGCTCAAACTCACACAGCAGAACCACCGGTTGTAGCGCATAATCAAGTCACGGAAATCCAGCTTTCCGCCGAAATTTTATGAGCATTTCGAGGAAACTAAAAAAATCGAAAGAATAAACTAAAAAAAAACTGAAAAACGTGAAAATTGTAAAAAATTAGACATTAGACATTCGACGAAGATCATGAGGGGATTATTTTTGAGTTTTAAGTGGGCCGAGAATGCCGGCAGGGGCAATAATCCGAAAATCGACGCCGGAAACGACACCTTTCTAATGGGTCAAAATATTGGGGCGGGAAAACGGCTGGAAAGTGATCAGGGATCGTGGATTCAGAGGATTTTTTTGGAAAAGTGCGGGTACGGATTTTGAAAAATTCTACGTCGACCTCTGCATTGAAAATCAGGATTAGGTGCTCAACAAAAATGTTTGATTTTACGAAGTTTTGTCATCGCTAGAGAGAGAGAGCGAGAGAGAGTGATAGAGAGAAAGAAAGAGAAAGAGAGAGAGATAGAGAGAGAGAGATAGAGAGAGCGAGAAAGTGAGCATGAGACAGCTAGAGTAAATGGGAAATACAAGAATCAATATTGAGAAGGATTGAGCATGAGAGGGATTGAGCATGAGCTAGAAAGAAAGCGAGAAAAAGAAGGAGAGACGGAAGGGGAGAGAGAGAAGACAAAAATGAGCGTAAGATAGAGAGCATGAGAAAAGCTAGAGGAAACGAGAGAAGGAGAGATAGAGAGAGCAGACAAAATCGAGAGATACCGAGAGTGAGAGATAGTGAGAATGAGAGTGAGGGCGAGCAAAAGCCATCTACCTTCCCTAAACCATGGTGTGAACAAAACAAAACCACCCAAAATATCGTCAAAATCCACGCCCAAAAACGTCTGGTTCCCAGACAATTTAGTACGTCCCAGCCCGCGTCTGCAAAATTCCCAAAATGTCCACCCGCTCCTAATTACAATGCGAAAATCCAAAAAATTCGCTGGCAAATCCCATTACGAAATGAGCCGATTGACGCACAAAAAGCGTCCAATTTAAGCGATTTGTACTGGTGACGAGAGCGACCAGGGGAGGAAGAGCTGGATTTCAGCTGCATGCCCCCCTCGAAAAGAGAAAAGAAAAAGGATGGGGGCCACAAAATGCGGGCACATCTGGGCCCCGCGGGGTCTCCTGTGGCCCAAGGGCCCTTGACTGGGCCACCCGCCGGATATTGCCAAAACCTAGGGGGAATTCCGGTCGGAGGGGTGGGATTGCCTTTTGGATGGCCCCAATTAGCACAAAAGAATCTGGGGAGGTACACCCCGTTTTCCGGTCGGTTCTGGGCTATTGTCTGGGTTATTTGAGAAGGGCAATTAATTTCTTTTGGGATGCGATTAAAATTGGAAAGAACGGCGGATTTAACGATCGGCTACTTTAAAATAGAGTTTTAAGGTATCTTTTTACTACAACAAAAATCCTGTAACCTGCTGCTTTTCTATCGCGCACAAATTACTAAAAATGGAAAATTCTGCCTTTTCTCTAAGAAATATTGAATTACGGTGTTTTTTCCTGTTTTTTCATGTTCCTGGCCCTGATTCAAGGTTTCTGTTTTTGGATTTTACGGAACTTCCGGTTCGCTTTTACGCCTGGACCAAAATTCTTAAATCAGCTTTAGCAAATTGGGGCTCTTCATTAATCTACATCTTTCTACAAAATGGGAAAGGACGGATCGTAAAGAAAACTGTTGCTTGCACAACAACGGAACCCTGTTTTAGCATGTCTATGTAAAATAATCCATTCCACCCCAATTTCCGGGGCTAGCCCATAGATGGAATGCAGCTGTTCTGTTGGTTATGGAAGGACCTGGAGAGAGAGAGAGAGAGAGAGAGAGAGAGAGAGAGAGAGAGAGAGAGAGAGCACAAGATTTCCGATAGATAGCTAGATAGAATAGCCGGGAATAGGGCAAAAAGGGGGGAACGCCGGATATGAATAGGGGGCTGGTTTGGTTGGGGATTGCTATGGGGCAGTTATGAGGTTGAGGTATCGCACCCCCACTGCCCCGCCGGCTGAATTGGGTTATGCTATTTGGATTGGCCGGGGGAATTCACACCTCGGAAAAATGGGATAAATTTTTTTGTAGTTTTACACGGCTCGGGGAAAAGCGGAAAAAATATATAGGCGAGGAAATTTTCGAGTTGTTTGGAAATCGGGCTCCATACACACCACCCTAACATCAGCGTAGGCCGCCCGGAATCGACGGCATCTTTTTGCGCCGCACTCCAGGAAGAAGTATAAACAATGACCGGCGGGGATTAAAATAGACTACAGAGAAGTGGCATTAGAAAGTAATGAAAATTGATACCTTACGAACGTTAAGCTTGATAAATAAAGCATTTGATCAGTATGATAGTAAAGGTACATAGAGAGATAGAAATAATGAGAGAGGGAGAGAGAGTGAGAGAGAGGGGGGGGGGGGGGAGAGAGCAAGCAGAGAGGGGGGGGGGGGGGGGGGGGGAAGAAAGCGAATTCAAGTTTGAGACCTCTAAATCCTCTAAAAGGCCGAGACCTCCGAATTTTTTAAGGTTTCCCTACAAATTGGATCAAAATTTTGTGCGGCTTCTTTGAGAAAAAATTGGAATGGAAAGACTACGAAAAATGTATCGAAAAATGTGAAATGAAAGGTGCGCAAATCCCTATTTCCCAAAATTTCGAATGGCGCCTAAAAACACATCTTTTCGGCCGCCTAAAACGGTCTCTTTTGCCAAAAAAAATTAGTCACCCGCTTTTCAATAGAATCTTACAGAAAACAGCATGAAAAGCTGCAAAAAAACCGCTCGACTTTTCCATCAAAACGCCATCAGGAAAGCCGTTCCCATGGGTTAAGGGGGCCGGGCCACCCGAGTTTTGAGTGGTCCCGCCATGCGCGAAAATGAGATTTGCCCCCGGGGAGGGGCAGGGAAAGCTTTTTTTCTTTGCCCAGAAACAAGGGGAATCGAAAAGCAAGAGGCCCTTAAGTTTTCTGACATTCCATCAAAGTTGGATAAGGGGGGAGGGGGCTAGAAGAAGCCGGGGAATGGGAAAAGCGAACATCAAGAAAGTAGGAAATTTCTTGAGCTATCATAAGTTCTTAAGGTCTGCGCAAGATAAAGGTAAAGGATAGCTACGATATAGGTAAGACATCCATAGTTATACGCAAGGTATAAGCTGGGTGTTGTAACTTATTCGAACGGTGTTACGGAATTTACGTTTCCTGGGGGATCGTTACCTAGGCCGTATGCTATTTGGCTTAGCGTACGGAAGGTATCGCAATGCACTTAAGGTATACGTAAAGTACGCGGAAGGTAAATAGACATAAAGTAGCATGCATCAGGTATACGTCAGATATACGCGTGATATACGTAAGGCCGCATAACGAACATAAGGTATCATTACGTACTGAACTTATCCCAACGTCCAGAAGATAACGTAAATTCGTAAGCGATACTCTTAGTAAGATCAGAACGCTACGTCAAAGCATAAGGTATCACGTTAAAGGTATCAGCATCTACGTGACGTAAAAAACGTCGATAAGGCCTCGTAGCGTACGTAAAGTATTACAAAATTGCGTAAGATCCATTTTTTAAAGTTTTAGGATTAAAATTCTGATAAACACGCTACTAGCGTTGAGAACATGCCATAAACTTTGAGCCCTAAAGACCAAAAATCCTGCCGGGGAAGAGGGGGATATTGAGCACCCTTTCCCCGTTTTCTCCAGCCTCTATTATCCGATGCAGAAATCTGCAGAATAAGTGCCCGATGCAACGAGAATTTGCGTCTACTCCATAGCGCTGATGTTAGAGTTTGAAAATAAGTTTTTAAGCATTTTTAAAAACACATTTGGCCAATATAGCAAAATTTCTACCACTAAAACAAGGAATTCCAAGAATTTACACGAACCACGCGACGGCTTATTAAATGTGGGGGTGGTGGAATGTGCTTCAACAAGTGGGAATGAATGACAAATGCATTCCAGGACAAGAACATAATTTTGAGGAAATATGCAAAATTTGGAAAACGCAGGAGACGCCAAATATCGAGGTTTTCCTTTGTGAATTTTAATTTTCTAGACAAGGAGAATCTTGGGAATAATTGATAAGGTGGATCATAACAAAATATTCCATATTTTTAAATTCTTCAATAAGAAACCGGCTGGCTAACGCTAAAACTTCGTGCTCAAAAACTAACAGCCGAGCCAAGCACAACATGCCCATGACCCGAAATCCGCTTACGCCGTAAAATGAGCACTAATTTGCGCCGTGAAACGAACAGCTTGCCCCGGGGGCGCCCGTTAAAATTTACAGCTTTTCCAGCTCCGGGTCGTCGAGATTTTCGAACAAAACAGAACCGGTTTGGAATTTTTTAAAGGGGATTTTTGGGTTAAGGGATTGGGCGTCAAGAGCATGGATAGGGAATTAACGGAATTCTCTAGACATTCGATCGGACGTGCTAAGTTCAGAAGCGGAATTTCTTGTTTTTGAGGCTGGTCTGTGGACCGCTAAGTGTTCAGATCCGGAATTTTCGGTATTTTAGACATTTTCTAAGCCAGAGGGATTGACTGTCACGAGTACCGCTACGGAATTGGCCAACTTCTACAAATTTCTGATTTCCAGAAAGAAACGTCCAGAGGGTAACCGTCAAGGGTTTAGATCCGGAATTTTCGGATCTTAAACTGTTACTAACTACGTAAGGCTACGTTTTCAACGCCAAGAGTATCGCTACGGAATTGGCCAATTACTACTGATTTCTGAGTTTCAGAACTCACGTCCAGAGTATATATACGGACTTTCAAAGCTTCATTCAAATCGACGGTTTTTATGGGCTACTGTAGCTCGTGAGAGTAGTTGCCTCACGCGATCTTGATAGCAAAAAGAATGAAATTTGAAAATTCCAAAATTACGAGCCAATTTTCACGATGATTTCATAATTTCAGAGCTACAAAATCCGGGCCGTTCTCACGACCGGCCGGGTGGCCCCGCGAAAATAATGAAAATGTGGGGGGGGTATTTTCTGGGTATTATTTTTTTGTCATGTATTCGGGTATGGGGGGAGGGCGAGGGTGGAGGTGGGGGTGTGAGTATATCGGAATTGGAATTTCACCTGTCTACCTAGAAAATTTGGAATAACGAGATAAAGCGGAGGCGAGTTTGAAGCTGTAAATAGTAATAATCAGTAATTGGCTAGCTTTTCTAAAATATTAATTGTTAGACCTATTTTAAAACTTGTTAATTGCGAAACCATCATGGCATTGTAAAACCGCCCCAAACTTGATGTTTCTGAGCCTTTTAATCACGTTTTTTTCGTTCTTATCTATTTAAAGCCTTGGAAATTTACGAACACAGATTTTTCCTCGAATAAAGTCCATAAACCTCAAAAAATCAACTCAAATCACCTAAAAAATTCCAATTAATTGTTGGTGTCTACCCCCGGTGCCGCTAGGAGTACTACAAATTTTGCGGGGCCAGATTAACGGCCCCGCCCGGCGGCAAAAATTGGTTTTTTACATGGAAATTACGGCCACAAAGCGGGTGCGGGAAAATTATTTGGACGGCTATAAAAATAAGATGTTTGATCCAACATAAAATTTCGAACAAAAACTTTTAAAAAATTGGCTTTTCCACGTATCGTAACGTAGCCAGAAAAAAAATTCATACGTAGCATAGAGTATAACAACGTAAAGGGGCGTATGGTAGCCTACAGTAGCGCAAAGTAACGTACAGTAGCGTACAGTAAACTAGGTAAAGTAGGTGAAAAAAACTATAAAAACCTAGGGAAAATCCTTATCAATTGACAATACTGGCCTGGAGTTGGTAAATACGGTCAAAAAGTGGCAGCATCAAAATAATAATATCCCCCAAAAATACCGTACCTCATTGATGTTCTTGTAGGTTTTGATGAGATCCACCGTAAGCTTGCGTAGCGGCGCCTCGTTCGGGTTACGGTAGATGGGGCGGCTGGGCCGGACGACCTCGTTCGGGTTCCGCGCCGGGTTCCGCAGCTGGTCCGGCGTCATCGTGAACCCGTACTGCTTGTCGTACTGAAAAGACAATTTTAAAAATGATTAAATGCATTTGTAATTTTTCAGTTTTTAAGGGATTGTGTCAGCTAAGGAAAAATATCGAAAATTTCGGATAATCATTTCAAAACGAAATTAGGCTTGGCTTAGAATGAAGCTTAGGCTTGGGCTTAGGCTTCGGCTTTAGACGTAGAGCCTAAAGGGACAATGACAGCTAGTTCAATTCTCCAACGGCACGCAAAAAATTCATTTTCTTGCTGTCACTGTCCCTTCAAAGCTCAGTTAAAGTATGTAATCCACAATATCGATTGATCGAACGACTACAAAGTTCAAAATAACGCGCGCGCTCCGGCAAAATCCGGCCCCGGCTTTGAGGAGATGGAGTCGGAAGGGCGTGTACAAGTCAAACAATTCAGTTTTCTTCGTCTCCTCCTCTCTCTTCTATTCCTCTCTCTCTCTCTCTCTCTCTCTCTCTCTCTCTCTCTCTCTCTCTCTCTCCCTCTCTCTACCCTCATTTTCCCTCCTTCCCCCCCCCTTGCCGGGTAACAGTACAGTTCAGTTGTGTGGCAATATATGCCAGTGGAGTCGGGTGACCCCATTAGACTTTAAATAGCATTAATTGCCGACTAATAAGCTGCATAAGCTCAGCTAAGCCAAGCCTAAGCTAAGCCTAAGCCAAGCCTAAGCTAAGCCTAAGCCAAGCCTAAGCTAAGCCTAAGCTAAGCCTAAGCTAAGCCTAAGCTAAGCCTAAGCTAAGCCCAAGCTAAGCCTAAGCTAGGCCTAAGCTAAGCCTAAGCTAAGCCTAAGCTAAGCCTAAGCTAAGCCTTATCTAACCTTAGCTTTTACAAAAACTCACCAATCTAGGGCCCGCGATCGAATAGTAGTTTTGCGGGTTGGGCGGGACGAGTTGTTGGTGCTAAAAATCAAGATAAAACTTCATACATAAAATTTCAGCGCTTTTTTCTTCGCAATTTTTAGCAAATAAAAAATAATTCAAAACCATAGTTATAAAGAGCTATTTACCTGAAAGGGTCCCTCCTGGAACTGTTGCGGATAGCCGGCGGGGACTGCGTACGGGGGCGCGCCGCGGGTTTGCGGCTCCCAGCCGGTCTGGCCACCGGATTGCTGCTGAAAAAGATGCGTTAAAAATGATCAGTTAATTTTAGCAAAATTGTGGCCGGTAGAGGGGGTGAAAAAATCAAATCTTTGCCCAAAAATGCAAAAGTTAGGGCCCAAGGCGCGGCGGATTTTCGCGAAAAGTGGTTTTTTAGAATTATTGTAGTTTGCAGTCTAGTAGAAATCAATTTTCTGCCAAATACCAGGACTACAAAATTCATTAAATGATGAAATAAGATTTGTGCTAAGATTTTCATACATAAAAATCGTTTTGAGCCAGAAATTAAGAAATTTTGAGGTCTATGGGCATGTCAAAACCTCGATTTTAGCAAAAATGTCGTTTTCTAAGACGTTGAAACATTACTGTAGTTTGTAGCCGTTCTAAGTTTCTATTAACAGCCTTCATAACGCTATATTAACCCCGAAAATCATAAAAGAACCCAAAATAATCAATAAGCAATGCCCACAAACCCGGGCCGTAAATGCAAAATTTGATCCGTCCAGACTAGCCGGCCAGGGAGGACCGGAAACGAGAAAAGAGAGAGAGAGAGAGAGAGAGAGAGAGAGAGAGAGAGAGAGAGAACGAGAGCGGTCGGGGTGGCAGCACAGGGTGAAGACTCGCGGATCTTACACACTTTTCGGGACGGACACACACGGCCTGGGACCCTAGCAGCTAGACCCTTGCACACGGCTGGCACTAACCATCGACCAATGCCCGCTATGCTAATTGCCAAAAATCGAGACGTGATGTAATTCCGACTCACGGGCTGATTAAAATTCAAAATTTAACCAAACCTAATTTTTCGAACTTCGGAATTTGCATAAATAAAATTATCTACGGTAACTCAAAAAAAATCAAGAAAAATTTGGGAAATCGAATTCAGGCGGCCAAAATTTGCATAATTAAATTATCGCCAAGATCGCTACATTTTTTTAATGAATTTCAGATGTATTATCCTTTTTTTAAGAAGAAAAAAAAAAATTTTTTTTTTTTTAAAAATTTAAAAAAACAAAAATTAAAAAAAAAATTAAAAATAAAAAAAAAATTTATTTTAAGGGTAAACAACCCCCCTTCTCCCCCGCCACACCACAAACAAAAATCTAACGAAAATTAATAACTTAAACCTTCAGATTCTTCAAAAAAGCACGAAAATCAGACAAAAAATTGCAATTGCACTGACGGTCAAATTCGCATAAATATAGCGATAAACCAGCTGCGATGAATTTCTCAAATTTGTAGTTAATGAAATAATAATCTGTGCTCGTGCTCCGCAAAATTCCTCCAAAAACCGACTCTCGACCACTCGCGCTCAATTTCTCCGAAAATCTCGGCCCGCGCCGACTTTCACGCTCAGGCTCGGGCGCGCGGTGAGGCAAAAAGGATGACCACCGCCCCGGACCCCATTGTTTCAGATTTTGAGGAGAGATTAGTGAGCGGAGGTGGGAGTGAAAATGAGGAAATTAATATTGGAAAAGATAACGAAATTTTAAGCGAAAAAACTCACCAGATACGGATCACCGACGATGCCGACGGGGGCCGTGATGTCCATCTTTGCGTCCTGAAAAAGGTATATTAATAAGATTCTGAATTAAATTGAGAAAGTCCCTTAAATATACATAAATTAAGAAGTATAAAGGTGTTTTTATCGCGAAAAACCTTGAAAAATCGTGAACATCCCTGGTTGGTTTTAAAAATATAAAAAAAGAAAATTTCACCGTTTTTGAGGATTATTTACTAGGTATTGAACGCTCAAGGTAAGTAGATAAGTATGAAACGTAGCTTTCAACCGCGTTGGGTTCTTTTCTGCTAATGGAAACCTTAAAAATAGCTAAAATTCAGGGTATTTTTCAAAAATGCGCAAAAATCCGGAATTTGGCCGATTTTTAACGGTTTTTCTAGGTATTAAAGCCCATGCTAAGCTAATTAGCTAAATTCCGCATCGTAAAAAAGAAAATGATTGGTTTCTTTTTCTGTCAGTAGAAAAATCAACATACCTAGAAAAAATTACGGAAAAATTAAACATCCGAAATTCCCGATTTTCCGCTTTTTAAGGCGAGATCCTGGGTATCAGAAATTCCGTTTTAACCCTGAAATACAGTCAAATTGCTAGTGTTCGTGTAGGTACACAAGGACGCGGTTTTCCTACGCGGGTGTGGGCAAAACGAATCAATAAAAGCGCATGATTTGCCCGGTCGGGCGCCCCGAACAGCTGATCACTTCAACACCACCACACAGACAGCCAACCCCCGTCACTTCGGGTCAGTCCAAAAAGGCAGCAAGGGCCCGGTTTGCGTCTTTTGATGTTTTTAAGGGCCCTGTATCTCTCTCTCTCTCTCTTTCTCTCTCTCTCTCTCTCTCTCTCTCTCTCTTCCAAGAAAAAATGTGACTACACAAAAATCCCCAGGCTTTTCGGCACTTTCATTGAACTAATGGAGGACAAGGAAGGGCGGATTGGGCCGAATTTTTCGGAAAATAACGAAAAAATGAAGAAATCTTCAGAAAACCCGATAAATTAGTGTTAACGCCTCTTTAAAATAATTGAAAATAACGGTTTTTGGAAGCTGTTAATCGGCATTGAACTGAGCGCGCGGAAAATCTGAAACCGGCCGGTTTTGACTGTAAATCTGATCAAATAAATTTTTGAATCAAGTACCAAATAGTTTAATATATCACAATCCTTTTTAAAGTGCTTAAAAATATGATGATACAATAATATAATATATAGATAGAAGAAAATAGAACGATAAAGACTTTTCCGCTAGTCCAAGCACCGAAAAATCGATAATTCGCGCCAAGATGACCCTATCATTAATGCGGGTTTTTCAGGAACTGATAAGAGGAGAGCTGTTATTTATACCTCGTATTAATGTTTAAATTAAAGCACTATGAGAATCAAATATATTTCCGGTCCAAAAACTAACCTTCCCAGTACGCATGGGGGGTGCAACCAGAGCCGGGGCCATCCGCTTGCGGAGGACCTGAAAAATACGATTCAATTGATACCCGGTGGTTTAGGTATCCAAAAACTATTTCTCTCTCGCTCTCTCACTCGCTCTCTCTTCCTCTCTCGCTCTCTCGCTCTGTCTCTCTCTCTCCCACCTACCTTGGTGTCGCCGGAAGCCGTGGTCGTCGTTCCGTCCGCCTCTAGCAGCTCACCATCAACGAAGAAGCTCGTGCTCGGCGTCTTGGCTGATTCGGGCTGCAAAACCGAATATAGAAACCTTACGGTATCATTTATAAAAAGGAAAGCATCGAAAATACATCGAAATTAGCGTAGCAATAAAAAATATACAAAAAAAATTGTAAAATAGTTACCAAGGGTATCTAAGGTTAGCATTACAAAAAGCTAAACGTGAAATAAGTGAAGTGAAGTGAAACAAGCTAAAGTTTATGCTTTATGGTACCAAATAAACAGCATAACGTAATCCTGAAATTCTTGAGCTTTCAGGTTTCCTGACCGGAAGCTCTTAAAAAACCCCAAACTCCCCCAAAATGAGTCACAATTCCAGGAACACCCAAATTCCTGGGGTGCAAAATATTTACGATGATAGCCCCCGGGTTGTGTTTCCTAAATGACGCCCTTGCAGCCCAGAGGGGGACCCAGTTTTTCCGGGACTTTCCGGTGAACACGGAGCGGACGGAGGGAGGGACCGGCTAAAGGGGTTGTAAAGTTATAGCAGGAGGAGATAGAGAGAGAGAGAGAGAGAGAGAGAGAGAGTAGAGAGTGAGAGAAGGAGTTTCCGATCGGAACGGCTGTCCGCACGTCCCAACCTGTGATCTATTGACCCCGCCAAAAAGTTTGATCGCCCCCCATTGCCTCCCCCTCTCAGGAAATTGCCGCCAAAAAGTGTCTGGGGTGATGCAGGGTGGTTTTTCTGTAATTTCTTCAGGAACGGTGTCTGGGGCTTGATCTAGGCTTTCAAATACAGTAGGAAATTTGCAAAAAAAGCCCAAAATACGGCAAGACCGTTTTACGAGAAGTTGGAGACGTTCAGAAGCAGAAAAAATTGTTTAAATTGTACCAATGCTGCCGAAACGATGATGACATGTTCAAGACGTTCAGAAGATCTATATCAACAACGGATCAGGTCCAAATTCAAGACGAGTTCGAGCCGTTCAGAAGAATTCTCCATGACTATAAAATATCTACTGAACTTTTAAGTATGTAAAACACTGCCTAGTACTAATTACGGTCTCCTTTTTGATCATACGGTGAATTGCAGCAAACCGAAAGTTCCAGGCGTAAACTGGTGATTAACAAAATAGGCAGGTAAAGTTGCCACGTCCATTTAAAAGTATATGAATGGGAGAGATGGAACATTATATGGCTGAATGAACATTAAAAAATCGGCGGGAATTCCGAGGAAGCAAAAAATGATAAAAATGAGAGAAGAGTTGAGTAAAATGGCGCGCGTCTTCAAGGAGTCCGTGAAGTCAAATTGGGAGCACCAATTTGTAGGTAAACGAAAACAAAAAAATTTAATTTAATTAGCAAACCAAAATATAACTTTCAAATAAGCGTTTAATAAAAAAATTTTCCCCGAGACACAGTAAAGCCAAATAGTAGCTGAACTCTCACGATCAGCGGTAGGGCAAAAGCCCGACCGCCGCCGCCGCTCAGAAACACATTGCGCTGCCCGGACAAATGAGCTACTCACGCAAAAACCACCTGAGACTAGGAAAACGTTTCCAGCCGCGGCGAGGGCAAGCCGTTCAGCCACACTTTATGGCTCATTCCAGCTGTGTGTGTTCCCAGTGAGAGCAAAGTGGACATAGGAAATGGTCGGCTAAAGGGCAGTGGATGGGTCAGAAAGAGAGAAAAGGCAGACGCATCAAAAGCGAGAGAGCGAGAGAGACAGAGAGACATATAGAGAGAGAGAGCGAGAGAGAGAGAAAGAGAGAGAGAGAGAGAGAGAAAGAGACAGAAGACAGACAGACAGACAGAAACATAAATATTTCTCTTCCTGGCAAATGGAGGCATGTGATTAGGAATAGCCGGCGGTCAAGACCAGACGCTCAAAAAAACCGGAAACTAATGGAAGTGTATAGAGGAGTCTAGCGGAATTTTCGGATTTTAAGGGGCCTGTGATGCTTAGGAGACGTAAACAAGGCTTTTCTGAGCTTAGGAGATACAACAGTGCCAATAACCTTTTTGCTTTTAACGGACCGCTAGAGCCAAATCTTGTAGATTTGTGCTCTAAAAACCATTAAAAACAGCGTTGAAACAGCTTTGATTTTTTAAAGGACTAGTGCAGTCAATTTTTCGAAGCTTCTACCACCAAAAAAGTTCAACACCACCATAAAACATGCCGAAGCCGGCGCCCGAAATCCGGAATAACCCATGAGCCCAAGTGCAAATATTGAGAAGCCGCGCAGGAACATGGTACACCTATTGACATAGCTGGTGGCCTGGTGAAACCCTTTCCCACAGGTGGATCTGATTGGACAAGCCTGCGCAAATTTAACTTGGTTTTGCTTTTTAGATATTTGGGGAACTTGACTGGTCAAGCCGAATTTAACTGAAAACCCTAAAAATGTTTCATTTGTCATCAAAAATATCTTTTTTTTGCATAGAATTTGCAGGAAATATTGTTAGGATTTAATTTTCAGCCTTTTACCCTTTGGAACTTTTTCTCCCCCCCAAGACAACTTTTTCCCCCCCTAAAAATTTTTTTTTTGGGGGGGGAGAGCGATTAAAATCGCGTTTTGTACGCCAAAGATCTTGTACAATATGCTAAAAATGCCCGGATCAAAATCGCTAGCGCCTAGCCGTCCCCTGACCACCCTGCCGTCTAGCCAAAATCGATGAAAAATTGAATATGCCGATATGGAAATGGCGGGTAAGCCGAGGGGAGGGAAGGCGAGGATGGAACATGCCGGGTGAAGATTGGGATAGGAACATTTTTTCGGCATAAACAGCAAGTTTTGTACAAAAATTGTGGTCAAATCGAGTGAATTCAACGGCGACAACTTCAAGGAGTTCAAAGGTGGCAAAGAGCAAAATTGGATGAAAAAGTTCAAGCTTTCGGTAATTTCGCAGGATTTAGAACCATTCCCAGTTCTGCAAATTATATCAAACAATGAGTGAGAAAATTGTTGAAAGAGAGCGCGAGAGAGAGAGAGAGAGCTTTTTCGAGGAGTCCGACTATTTTTCGCAAAAATTCAAGCACTATAAGCTCCAAATTTAATAAATTAATCAATAACTGATTGGTCAGGGACGCAGCCTGCACAGAATCACACACACAGCGGGCCTTGGCTGGATAATCGGGGTGTGAGTGGTGGTGGTGGTGGGGGGTTGAGGCGGTGCACTTGAAGGGCCCACAGCTGAGTCGTCATCACAAGACGAGGGCCCAGCCGGCTGCACTGTGTTTGACTGTTTGACTGTTGCTATCTTCCTCTCTCTCTCTCTCTCTCTCTCTCTCTCTCTCTCTCTCTCTATGTCTCTCTCATCTTGACTCTAACACTTTTCAGCAAGACGGCGTGCTGAGGAATCTATCGTTCAGGCGGGGGTTAATGAGGAACGGGGGGGAGGAAGGGGGGGGGGGGGGG